TTATAAACAGTCCATACCAAAGGAGGTTAGATTTAACCTGAGGTATGATGCAATGACAACTTAGGCTGCAGCTCAACCGTGCTCCGAGAGGTTTTTGTTAGTGGTTAACTCGATGTCACTCTATGTAAGCACCGCCCCACTGCACACTATCCAGTCAAAAACTGCTGCAGGAGGAGCCAACTGGCATCAGACTGAGGATTGTGAGAGGCTTTTTCCTTTTGTTTATCACATTTAAATCATCAGATTAAATTATCTTTGTTGACTGCTTTGAGAAATGTGTGAACCCATTGCTAAGAAACGTTCTGCTGCGATGAAGTGATGATGAAGATCTAATGGATCCACTCTCATCAATTGTGATTTAGCAAATTAGAAAAACTGTAAGGATGAGAAGTAGCCATACAAATCACTTGATATAATGTTTTTATATTTCATCCTGATTTGCTGCAGGTGAATTTTGCAGCTAAAATGTGTTACTCAATACAAAAGCATCACACACAGACAGGCTAAGTGCCTCAGTGCTTTAGAGAATATCTCATTTCATTATCAGTGAGAAACTGAGTGCGTATGTAAACTCTATTTCAGTGTTTTTACATAATTAATATCCAGTTACATGTCAATCATATTACAAATAAACTAGACAACATGTGCCAGTAAAAATCCCTTCTCTTATGAAAGAGCTCTGTCTGTAATGTGTTTTAATAAACCTGATGTTGTTCACTGTCCCAGTTTCACATTTCACTGTTAAGTTAGTTAACACAGACTTAACAGACCAACCTCTTAACCAGCTTTAACCATCATACACAGAGTCACTGAACCAGGATTTATCAAGCCCGACATTAAAATCAGAGTAGGTTGAACCAGCTTTTGTAGTACAGGCCCCTGCCCAGTCATCCCAGTGTTTTCATTGGCTACACATGTGGATCTTAAAGTCAGAGTATAGTTTGTGTCTGATGTATTCATGTTGCATCATTATTCATTGTGCTTCTTGAGCAGATGTCACCTGAATAGAGATTTATAATGTTCTTTTCTTTTTTTCCCTGTTTGTTTGCACGTGTCATCATGGCATTATGTGGTCATGGAGAGTGGACTATCATAGTGGTGGTTTTGCGTGGTAGTGATTTAATTTATTTATTATTATAAACTAATTAACTTGATATTTGAACTTGGATAAGTGGCAGGTGAGTTACAGCAGTGCAGGCAGGAGTGGTTACAGGTGAGTAAAAGCTGAAGACACAAAGGAGCAAAGTCCGACAGTGTCTGTATCCTTTGATTCTTGGAGCCCTGTTGAATTTTTGCCTGACTGGGCCGTATGAGTGCCACTGTGCTGAGCTGGCGAACTGGCAGAGAATGGAAGGCAGAGCTGAGCATATATACTGCAGTGGAGAATCGGTCAGCGACGCCCCTGTAGATACCTGCCACACGCCACACCCACCCAACACACGAGAGGGGGGAGAGAGAGACAGAGGCACAGCCAAAATCCAGACAGTAACAGTAATTCTTACCTTATGAATAAACCTGATCTTGGACAGAAATAATATAAATATACTGGACTTCATCACCAACACACATATTAAGTCAGCAGCTAATAAATATTTGATTGTCTATCTAGCTCCGCAATCCTTAAAATATGAAAATTAATATAATGTATTATGAGTTGGACAGTTGATGATGTAAGACAGTGTAATGGCCACAAACAGAAAATGAAAACCAGGCTCAACTTGTGGCCACAACATAAGATAAGGACATAAACCGAGTACTTAGTTTCAATAAAAGGACAAAGTTTATTTACATAGGAAACAATAATCTACCAAAGCTATGAGAGTCTGGAGGTCTGGCCAAAAATAACAAAAGATGAGGAAGTCTGGGCCAGTCCACAGGGACTGTAGGACCCAGAGCTTCCTCCCTGAAACTAATACACCTGAAGGTCAGCCTAAACTAGAAATAAAGCCTGAACACTGGACTAGCAGCCTCAACACAGGAAGAAACCCAAAGAACCAGAACCACATTCTCTAACATCAACACAATAATAATCATCAAGCCACTGCTGGGAGAGAGGGAGTGATTGAGCCTCTTCTGCACCCTCCCTTAAATACCAGTCAGGGCCACAATCAGCTGATCCATCACACCTGGAGTATGGGGGGGAGACACAGGAAGGTGGGAGCATGTAACAGACAGCATGGTTTGAACTGCAGCTCAGCTCAGACCACCAGACTGTTCCTGTTATTGAAGCCCCCAGACACAGATTTTTCATCATGATATCATGTTTGAAGTACATATTGTGTTGTGCTGAGATCTTTTATCCAGCATTTAAATAATAGTTATTAATACTAGGAACCTTCAATAGCTTACTGAAAATGGATTAACAAATTGTTTTGTGCTCTGTAAGAAGGTTTATACCAGGGCTGGGAAATCAGTAATCACAACCTTCACTCACTAAATAATAATGAGACTTGTATTATGATAAGCATCATTATCAACTGACATGAAGTTCTTTTGTCTTTTTTTGCTGTTTGGCCATATCGTCAGGATATACACCATGTCAGTGGATTCACTCCGTTCACACTGTGACACACATTTAAACTAATGTCAATTACCGACTTTCCTGTTTCCCATTATCAATCTAAACTTTCGGTTCTGTTAGTCGTATTAATCATATCGTGTTATCTTAAAGGGATAGTTCACAGAAAAATGTACATTATCTATCTACTCACTACTATGTTGATGGAGGGATGGGTGTAGTGTTTGAGTCTGCAAAACACTTTTGGAGTTAAAGAGGTGCGTGTTAGCATTGCTACTTTTGAATGTCTGGGCTTATGGACAAAAGAGTTTGTCTCAGTTCAAATAAAACTGAACCACGGTATGGTTAGTTTGCACTGGGAAAAAAAACTGGATAGATTGAATAGTTCAGTCTTTTGGATCCATTTCAGGAAGTTGAGACAGCATTAAACAATAGAAGAAGCAAAAGAAGCACAAGCCGCTCGTAGGATTGCTTACAGTTTTTCCCTCTGATGATATAAGGTCTGAACAATAAGGAAGTCCATTAGGGACATTTGAACTAGTGTAGAGTATTGTGCCTGAAGTTAGGGTCGCTGGTAATAATACCATAGTGATATCAAAGTGGCAACTCTCAAAATAAACCACTTCATTCATTTTCTCCATTCATACAGAAATACTACTACAGACTACTACTCACTGAATTATATATCATAATATATCAATATCAGCCCCCCTAAGTTCACTATTCACATAGTTTCTCCACCGCCTGGGCTGGGGTTGCCCTCCTCCTGTGTCCCCCCACTCCACCCGACTTCAAAGCTGACATGAAAGAGCTTCGAGCCATTTGCTCCAGTTGGAGCATGAGCAAAGCCCAAGCAGGTTTTCACGACCAACAGCTGTTTCAGGTGCGAGTATCATTCCCTCTTGCGTTAGGATGATTAAAGTCATGGTTTTACACTGAAAAGGAAAGGATGTCACGATGTGAGAGGCTGGAATTAATCAGAAAATCGGTTTGGTTTGTGGGAAAACGAAGCGATTGAAACGAGGCTGTCTATATCTGCCTTCGGCCATGTGCAGATAGGTAGCTCAGATCATTAAACGTATCCTGTCCCTTCAACCCACTGGTAATTAGGAGGTAATGGAGCCCTGGCACAGAGAAATTTGAGACCACAGAGCTGTAGCCAGAGTGCTTACCGTGCCAGCACCAATGTGAGGCACAGAAGCGTCCTGTCCCAGTGACTTGACCTATCAGAGACACCACATGACTCTGGCAGGACACTCCCTTCAGCCTCAACAGTCTCCAGGGGCTGTCTAGTGCATTAGCTCTTTTCTGCTTAGCACTTTGTTGTATTGATTTGATGTCCTCCCTACATGAAGTGGAGGAAATACAGACATGGTGTGTCTATTCTACTGTGGAATTATCTCAAAATACATTTCGACATTTATACACAAAGCAAAACCAGGGTTTTGACTTAAACGTGGGTGGTAACAATAAAAAGCATTGTTAGAATCAGATTGTGTTGCCATCCACATATTGCAATTTTAGGTAGTTGGACGCAGTGTGTTTCAACAAATTCTCTGTATTGGACACAATGTTTAAAAATGTCGTTAAAATTAATTTAGTTGTTCTATGTTCTTGAAGGTTTTTTAACTGTACTTTCGCCTGAATCTGCTCTTTTTGCAGCTTGTGTTTTTTATCTCGGTGTTTAATGACTGTCTGACTGGATTATCCACTTGGCCAGCACAAACAATACAGTAGTTAGAAAGAAACTAATCATCAAATGTATTGTGATGGTGATTGCTGTCTGCATGAACACATGCCAGATGAACAGGTCTCAACCTTCAAGATCCACTAGTTACATGGAAAATAGACTGGAAAATCTCTGAGTCAGGATTCACTGATCGTGACCAGACCAGATATTCCATATGAATGTACCTGCACTTTCTGCCAATGAGGTTATTCACCCCTGTGCATTTGTTTGGTTGTTGTTTTGTCAGCAGCATTATGCAAAAGCACTTGCTGTATTTTCATGTAACTCAGTGAAATGATGAGACAGTGGTAAAGAGAGAACCAATCAAATGTTGAAGAATCAAGGAAATTCAATCACTTTCCTAAATATTGTGACACTTTTGACTTTTTGACATTTCCCAGGGAATAATTCACAGATCTTGATGAAAAAGGTCAAACATATAATGTGACTGCTGGGCCTCGGCGGAGGTATGTGCGCTACTCACTTGTAGTTCCTTTTTATCTTTGAACTTTGTGTGAACACAAATGTCTGTGTGAGAGCCTCTGGAGTTTCTGCGGACTTTCTCCGCTTGAATTAAAATGTTAAGTCCTGCACCAACCCTCACCTGAACGCTTTGTTGCTGTTGTAAATGTGTCTGAGCAGAGACTCTCCCACTGCATTGTTTTTTTGTAAAAGGCAAACTCTAGAGTAAGTCCCAATTCTCCCTGTTTTCTGTCAAATTAAAAGTTTTTTCTTTCCACCTTTCTTCTCCAGGTGAAAGTGGAGGAGGAGGATGAGGAAGGATCACTGGAAGAGGAGGAGGAGGAGGAGGAGAACTGGGAGAAGGCGCTGTCTGTGGAGCGCTTTGGCGACATTATTGGTGACTCTGCTTCTACCAGTGGAGACAGGATGGGCCGACACTACACTGAGAAAGACTTTGAGAGTAAGACAAGTACCATTTCCATATTTTACCTGCAATTATGAATCCAGTTTAACTTAAAATAGGTTTGTGATTAAGAATAGGTGGGTGAAAAAAAAAAAAATATATCCATATACGGTATATCATATATATATGATTCCTATCTTTTAGAGCTGTGAGTTGATTTACAAATGCCAAAAATAGATTTTTGAAACCTGGACAGCAAACCTAAAGTTTCATACAAAAAAAGACTGTTAATTACATAAATGAATATGTAAAACAGCAATAACTGATGAGTAAAAAATACAGCCATAAACCTTTCTCCTCTTTTTTACTGTTAATAACAAACATCACATTGCTGCTCAGTTTGCAAAGCACTGCAGTCAATTTTTGACACAGAATTCAAATCCAAAATACACAGCCCTGTCTCTCTTTATTGGATCACAACCATTTTGAATCTACATTCAACTCTGAAACGAATCATGACAAGAAACAAAATGGAAAGTTACTAAGCCCTGTTACTGAACAGTTTAACGATTACTCACAGTAAGCCACTCAGAAAAGAAAATGCATTCGTCTCCAAACACCGACAGCTACAATTAGCCTTTCATTGGATGGATTTAGTATGAATGGTACTCACTGACCATATTTTTCAGTAAGATAGAGAAATGTGTCAGAACCATTTGGTTGATTGCCATGACATTTGGAACAGACGCTGTTCATGTTGTATCTTTAAAGTGTTCTTTAAGACCACTTTTTCCTTTTTTGTATTTAATGGATTCAAAAGCCAAGTCTTACGACATTATGATTTACATCTATAAGACAGTATGTGCTGAAAAGACTTTGTGGGTGTCTACACATCAAACTATGCTCTGCAGCTGTAATAAAAAGGAGACTGAATGTATATCATGATGTGTATTTGACCTTGTGTGTAATGTTTTCAACACAGATCACAGACACACATTTCACCATACGCACCACCCCTTGTCCACCCACCTGCCCCTGCCCCAGCGGTTACGCAAGAGGGTGCACAGCGCGGACCGAAGACGCAAAAAGAAACGGAAGAAAAAAAAGACATCTTTGCCCCCCTCCGATGTTACACCCACAATTCACGAGGTAGATGAGGAGGAGGCGGAGTCTGAGACAGACGGACTTGGGGTGGCTGCCACGCCCACCGACCTACCTGGCATGCAACCACGGGTAAAATAAGACTAAAGGGCTGTGGTTTCTCTAAATGAATGTGTAGCATTGTCTCTTCTGTGCTTGACTGGCTGATTACCAAGGTATATGTAAGTGCACTGTGCAGGAGTGTTTAGGCTTAATGCACCACTAATAGCTCACAGTGGTGTTAACAGCCTACTCTAACTACATGTTAGCACATTCCACTCCTCTCACTGATCTTCCTTTTCCTCTCAGTTTAGTTTGGGGAGCCAAGAGGACTTGGAGGAGCCCCTTCCACTTTCTACCTTCCACAAGGAAAACGAAGAACATTCATTGTCGGGGAAAGCTGAAGTCACGCTGATAAAGGGAGCAGCTCAAAATGGGGGAAGTGGAGTTCTTTGCCAGGATGAGGAGCTGGGTGGGGAGGAAGTGGATTGCAACAGGTACGGTATCACAACCATCTCAGGTTGTTCTGTTTGTATTGCACGAAACAACTTTAAATAAAATTTCAATTGTTAACAAACAAATAAATTGCATTTGTTCAAATTAAAGTTAAAATGTTATATTTAAGGTCCAGTGTGTAAGATTTAGGTGAAAGGGATCTATTGGCAGAAATTGTGTACAAAAATCATAGTGATGTTTTCAAGTGTTTCATCTAAATTAAACAAATGATTGATTTGTTTACCATTGCAATGGGCCCTTTATATTTACTGCTTTATATTTATATCGGGAGCAGTACTCTCTACGAAGGACTCCACAGGTTAGGAAGGGGAGGGGGTGGTGAGGGGCATTCAGCTGCGACATAATAGATGACAACTTTAATATGAGAAAATACCTTGAAATAATTTTTCCAATCGGTCAACAATATTTTTAGTATACTGATGAGGCCTTTCTGCTGTCTGCATTGGCTCAAAATGCATGCGTCTTTCCAACTGTCATCATGTTGTTTCTGATGCAGAACTCAAAAACTATTTTGACTTGTTTCATGTAAATGAATGTGCCCTCTAATGTGGGTTTCATGAGATGTCATCTCATAAATCAACGATGGATTAAATGACTCTGAATAATGTGAGTGGAGTCGATTGAACGTAGTAATGAACCTTAAGGAAAATGATCATCCAACTCAAAAGTTCCTCTCACTTTTACTGACATTCTATCATCTAATTTCTGGCTCACATGATTTTCCATGACAAATCTTATGAATGTTATTTTGAGGAATACATTTTTGAGGGTGCAATCAGCTACTAGAGTCGGACTTATTATCAAAATGAACAAATATAATGCTATAATTGGATGCTTTGGCCAACAGAACCCACCATAAACACCTTATTATGTTTGCTACAGCATTATCGTTAATCTTGAGTAATGTGTAAATCTAATATTCACTTTTCTTCCGACTCTTTTTCTTTCTTTTTTGTTTCTTTTTCATTGTCTTCATTGACTTCCAAGGAAAATACCTGGGTCTTTAGCTGCTAAGCAAACATAGCTGGTGGCTTATCTTTATAAACAGATTTTGAATGTACCAGAGCCAAAGGGCTGTGAGATTGGTTAGTGCCTAAGTGTTTCAGTCTGATGTGGTGCTGGGCTGCTCAGTGGGTTTCATAGGAAGCTAAAACTGCTTCCTGTTGTGGCTGGAGACAGGTGGGTGGGAGCAGTGAAGCACATTTGTGGGAAATATAACTGAACATGTGAGTTAGAGATTCTAAAACCCTCTGAAGAGCTGAGCAACTACAGTGTTGGATGGTTGTTGGAACTAATATAATTTAATTGATACAATAGCTGTTCTGCTCATCAGACTGATTCTTTATTGACTTGCATAGTGATTCCTGATTGATTTTCTGTGAGGGGGAAAAAAAAAGGTAGGCACACACTGCAATGCACAACTATTGATTTTTGATTGAATATCTTCTCATAGAATCTTTAGTTCAGTCAGGCAACTCATGTTCAAATGTTTATTGCAGCAGTAGAACAGGTTTGTGTTTGGCGTCTAGGCTCCGACTTAATCACTCCCCTGTTATGATTTCACAGATATGATGGGAGTGACGAGCAAATACTTGCAACCCCCCGTCGTAGCCTACAGGTGTATGCTGGCGTGGTGGAGGGGCTGAGGCAGCTGGTAGTGATACTGCAGCAGCAGTGCGAGAAAAGGGGTTGATGGGAAATGTCTCTCTGCTTAAATAGGCCGCCTCATAATGCGGATGTGTATAATAGATGATTGTGGAGAGTGAGGTATGTCTCATGATGTGTGTCACATGATTGGAGCAGCGCACCTCGAGTTGGGTGCCTGAACTAGCTCACAGGGTTCGCTCCAGATAAGGGAATATCAACACAAATAAGCTATGGTTGAATGTTTAAAATGCAGAAAATGTTAAAATCATAACTGAGCTGTGGCTTTGCTGCCTTGTAATTATATCACACATCACATTATTTAACAATTAGCTTTGGTTATTTGATGTAAACACAAGTCTATAGAATGTGGCTGCAGCTGTATTATTGATTTTGTTAGCGGCATCAGGCCCATTCGGACTGGCTCCCCCACAAGATACTTTTTCATATATAAATGCTAATAACACTGTGGCTCGGCTCAACAATTAGAAATATTCATCCATATTGCCCAGTATGCCCAGTTAATCAACACTTCAATATCTGATCAATAGTTAATGTAATTCCGTTGTCTCATCGTCATCTCTTAAAAACATGGCCATATGACCATGTGTCGTCACACCCACATGTCTGGAGTGGGCCTCGTGCATTAGAAGGCACGTCCATTAGCTTTTATCAAACATAATCACTAGTTGTATTCCACTCACGTTTGTCTGGCACTAAGTCACAGAAAGCAGACCTGGAAGTGACTGGCAACTAAAACACAGACAGACCAGTGTTAGTGTACTAACCAGCTCAAAAACCAGTTCAATACCCATGGAGGTGGGCAGCTGAGAGCATCACAAAGTGTGTGTCTGTGTGTGTGTGTGTGTGTGTGTGTGTGTGCAGTTTGAGCTCTGTTATCTGAAATATTTATTTATAGATATTATTTGTGTAATTTGCATACAGATTAGGTTTACCCAATCAGCAGAAAATGATTTATTTGCAGAAAATCTCCCGGCAACCCTTATATTTATCTGTGGGTTCGTCACATATCACATCTCACGTCTGATCCATTAATATAAACATAGGACTTTGCAGCTTTATCTGTATGGTTGTTGTCAGTGTTGTTTTTATACTGTTGGTCCATTTCAAGCATTAACTTGTAAAACAATAAATGTTTTGTCAGCCAAATATATATTAGAGGAAGACACAGATAGCAAAGCTGGAGTAAAGATGATTTATTTAATGTTCAAAGGTTTATTTTGCCTTCTAGATTTGGAAATGACCACGTCCATCACATTCACCAAGGCACATCATTCTCTGAGCAGCAATGGCTACAAGCAGCACCAAACTGAAGGAGGCACGCACAAGCCCAGAGTTGTTTCTATTCCTATTACCATCATATGCTACAACCATAGATTTATGTGAACTTTACATTAGCAGCTCAAAGTGTTTCATTATGTACAGGAGCAACTTCTAACAAACAATCAATATGTACAGTTCTTAGGGTACTTGTGATCGACTAATGGTCAGCTGAATCCCGGACATGAGGAGACCCATCTGGCCCGGAAACATGCAGAACCATCACAATATGAATTATTTGGTGATGCTTTGAATTATGCATGGTGTTTGCTGCTGGGAGGTCAGGGTCTCCATGGTGATTCAGGTATTTTTCTCTGCTAATGTCTGGTTGTTAAAATGCAGAAACCCCATCGTGCCTGTGCCGTGTGATACTGTGTGTGGACAAACACAGCCGGGGATGACTCAGAGGCTCACTGAGGAGAGCCTGGCCTGTTGTTGTGTGGTGAAGCCCTCTGCTGGTGAATTCATAGAAGTACAACAGAGAGGCACATCATAGAGCAACTTTGTTTGCAAATTTGGCAGTATTTTCTAATGTCAACTGAAGCTGCGGTGACAATTTCCTTATTACTGTTGTGTAATCGAGCGTCTAGTAACTTTTCAGTCATAAACAGTATTCGCAAATAAACAATGCAAAAAGCTTCATAGATTTTACAGCGATTTCCAAAACCTGTACTGTTGACACTTCTGACACAACACATCCATCTGTGGCAGGAATCTTTCCCTTTGAATGACACTCGCCAGAAAGACAGTGCTATCACTGGATCACGGTGGTGAACAGGCACTGATTCTCAGGCGTCAGGCTGTCCCTTCTCTAGCCTCTTTGATGGAGCAGTTGAGCTTAGCATCCCAGACTTTAGACGTGCACGGCCTTAACCTTCAGCCATGAGTTCCAGAATTCTTCTCTCTTGCGTAATCCTGCCCACAATGCAAAGTTTGAGGTGGCAAATGTCTGTCGAATAAGAGCAAAGTGGAGGTTTCTCTTTGAGATTACCTGCATATTCAAATACATGACATATGCAAACGAGCACAAGGAAAAGGAATTAGCAGTGTTTTTCTTAAATGCTGGCTGGGTCACGAATTTATAAAATCTTAACTGCTGAGTTACATGAGATGCATCTGGGCATCTTCAAGATCATGTTCTCTTGTCTTGTCCCTGGACATCGACTGAGATGTTGGGGATTTGATGTCTGCATGTTTTAACTCTCACATAGGAAGTGAAAGAAAGGTTAAGTCGCAGTAATCAGGCCGAGTACATAGGACCTGGACTTTTCCATTACAAAGCTAATAATTGTAACATTTGATGCCTCTCATCAGTATCTCTGTCTTTGCTCCTTGTCAGTGTTCCCCGAGGATCTGACCCCTCAACTTCAACCACGGCCTGCGGCTGGTTTCGCAGGAAGCCTGTCCACCATCGCCTGGCGGGCGCCCAGCGGAGCAACTATGACCTGCGGGAGCGAATCTGCATCGGGAGTATGACCGCTCTGGAGACCGCTGTCTACCAGCAGGTGCCCACTGATGAGGCGGAGGCCCAGATGTTGGCCAGTGCTGATCTGGATGACATGAAAAGTAAGCAAGGCCCTGAATGACAAGGTGTTTTCAGGTCAAATACGGGAAACCATGTTAAGAGAGTTCAGCCTTGATTGTGTTTGTAGTCACAAAGATAATGTTCAGGTCATCTTTTGATATTGATATATATATGATGTCAGAATAATACTTTGTTAAGTAGTTGCAAATTATCCTCATAATCATTATTCAGTGTGAAACTGTTTTCATGTTAGCCATTTTCTGTTTGTAAAGATTCAGCAGCGAGTGAAAATGAAACAGCCAACACTGATCTATTCGCCAATTTGTTAAATGATAATTGATTCATCAGTTAAGTATTATTTTGCTGCTTTGACTTATTTGAAAAGGGTAAAATAAATGGTTTCAGAGATTGTCTGATAAAACAAGATGTTGTAGAAAGTTGCAATCTTTCGTTCAGTGTTTTGTGGCATTTAATGTTCAAACCAAACAAGGAATCAATGAATTGAGACAATCTGTAGATTAATTGACAGATAACATTTCCATACATATAAAATGAATGTGGAATCTCCACTGATATGAGGATTTACGGTAAATATGCATTCCTAAGAGTTGCTGTTACCAATTCTGCCACAGTTCCATCCGGTAGATTTTAAATCCTGATCAAACAGATTATCCATTGACAAAATTTGTGTAGGTGTTAGTTTAAGTGGTGATTCAATCAGTACTAGAACTAAGAAGCACCAGATTGAGTGCATACTGCTTTAAGAGGCACAAAGGCACAGACTGAAACTACTGCTCTAGCTGCCTGCAGTTTAATGTGCAATACCATGTGCACTGAGGAACTGTGCGTTTGCTGTGTTGTGTTATTCAATTAGAAATATTTGAAATAATTAGAAACAAGTACTGTCTGTGTATTCCATATATATGATGAGAATAATACACCCAAGGTTGTTGCTATTGGTGATATACCATTATAATGATAGGTCTTATTATGTCACACCTCCATGTGTCTAAAGAAAGATGTTTTCTAGTGTGGACAAATGTTAGAAGCCTGCATGCAACAGATATTATTTTCCCTGTCTACAAATATGGATTTGGATGTGAATATAAATCAGGTACAAAGTGATGACTACTGAGGGGAACCTGACTGTAGCCAGCTGACTGGAAACTACCTCTTTATAAAGGTATAATGATAGATGAGTTTATCTGTCCTTCTCAGATAACTCACTCAGTACTTTTTCAGCCACTTCATAACAGCCCTGAGGGAAGATCATTGCGAGGTGTCTTTTTCTAGCCTGGTGGTTATATTAACCAGTGACGGAGCAGTAGCAGCTCCCCATTATACCTCCATGACAGCCCCTGAAGCGGTGGTAGCAGTATCTATGATACAACTACCACGTTTGATTAATTGGTGAGTAACAGATTATACTAAGATTAAAGTGAAGAATAAATAGCAGCATCCAATGTAATTTTGCTCACTCTGAGAAATATGATAGATTATGTGTGTCAGAGCAGGAACATGAGCAAATGTGTGGTTGAGAGAGATGTGAAAAAGAACAGTAATAGAAGGAGACAGAAGATTTATTTAGACATTAAATCGGACCAAGGGAAATCAAATTACACACACTCTGTGGCTAAATACGTTCAGATACAACACATGATGTTTTTGCTTTTGCTCAAGCATTTTTCTACAGTTCAGTTCCCTCTACTGGCAAAGACACATATCACTACACACTTGTCTTGTTAGCTTAAATACTTTGTTTTATAAAACATAAGGAATGAAACGTATCTGCTTGTTATGATATTTGTACATCTGTTCCACTCTCTTCAGTAAATAGATCCTGGGCACAGTAACTGACACAATATGTTTTTTGTTTTTTTTCATTTGAATTTAAATCAGTGTGCTATCATTGACTTATCATGATTCAGCAGCTCCTTGTCATTCTGCTAAGCAGGACAATAACTCATGATTTGATTTAAAGAATATTGAATATAGATAAATACAAAATGTGTGTCTTTTCTCATTTTAATTGTGAAAATGACATTTGTTGTCAGTTTAAAATTGACATTTGCTGATTATATTCATTTTAAAACACCTCCTAGTCAGAATTATTTCTCCCGAGGAAGTCACAATGGTAATGCATTAGAACTAGACTGTGCAAGATCCAAGACCTACAAGTATATATTTATGCTGTTCATTCTTCAGCCTTCATCTGAAGTGTGATGAGACCTTGATCAAGGCAATCTGCATGAATGATTTATTTACAGAAATAACCTCAAAAACTGATTTATTACCATGTGTCAAATGTAAAATGCATCAAAACTGTTTATTCTTACTAATTAGGAACCACTGCAGTTGAGAATGTTAATGCTGTAATTATTAGCAGGTCCCACATTCAGGTACATTTAGTTACCATCCTCATCTGCTCTTTAAGCATCAGATTCTCCACATAAATTGCCGTTGTTGGAAGACTTGATTATACCAAGTGTCTGTCTGAAGTATGTGTTGGCAAGCAGTGGCAATATAAAGCTGCTGATCTGCCACAGGAATAAATAAAGAGTTAAAAAGAAAGAATGAGCAGTTAAGAAAAGCGTACAATTTAGAAAAACAGAGAAGAGGAGATTGATGGAGTCAGAAGCTTGTGTGGCCAGAGAAAAACTCTCTCTCCCAGCATCCATGGGCATTAATTAACAGAGGCTGCAGTCGATTCCCCTTCAGCAGCGACCCTGCCCCTGGCCTTTCCTGCTTTACCAGAGCACGGTAATCATTGACTGTTTAGGATCTGGAAACTCAAAACAGGGCAACCAGAGTCACTCAAAACAAGCTATCGGATTTGTAGGGAGTGCACATTGACAGGCCGTGTATATCACCACTTTATGTCTCTCTGTTCCACTCTGGTTATTTTATTCTTACTGTGCTCTCAGTTGACAATTTCCTTCCTCTTAGGTTTGAGGTCTTGATGGGAATTAGGGTTTAGTCTTCATCACAATTTATCTCTGAAGCAATAAAGATTTTGTTATTAAAAGCTTGAAGTAGGAGGGAAAAGTTTTTCCTGACTGAAAAAATAACAGTAAATGAATCTCTGTCAGTAAACTATAACAGTCCTATTAAATGTATTAGTCACTTTGCCATAGAATTTAGTTTGCATTGTCAGACTGCAGAGGATTATATCTCTCCAACATGCTTGTTCATACAAAAGTGTTAAATGTCACAAGCTCTACAGACAAAAGTGTACAGATAATCTAAGAGGCTTCGTGTTGTTTGGACATAAACTGCTTCCAGACATACACTGAAATCTGGATGATCTCTCCCTGACATTCTCCAGAGGGGACGCAAGTGTCCAATCGAAAGGTTCTGGACTTTTTCTGGACTTTTTCCAGGAGGGCCTCCTAGTAAAAACTCAAAGGAGCCCATTTTTGAGAAGGCTGTATGACGTATAGATGTCTGTAGATGAGATTACTATGAACTTTTACACACCACCTGTTTCTGTCTTGAAGGGGAGTAATAATGTGTTACTTAATGATTAGAAAATAATTACAAGAAAAGTTACAATAAAGTAAGTATTGTGTAACAAATGCCCATTTCTTACCTGTAAGTGCTCTCAGTGTACGCAAGCATACAAACATAGACACTTTATCTAAATCCCACATGTTGAGCAGCTTTTAAACGACAGCTTAATGTTTGACTCACACCTGTTGGAGTCCAGTCAGACCTTGACTCCTCAGGCCACACGTGGTTTCTATGGAAACGCAGGGACAGGAATGGTGCAGCTGGCTGTGATAATTACCAATGTGACATCTCGCAGGGCAGAGTGGGGGAGCAGATTCCCTGTTATCACATTATTCTCTTATGGTTTCAATTCAATCAGTCCTCGTGTATATGTTCGTGCATGTATCCGTGTGTTTTTTTGAATTTATGAAATTCGGTTTGAGACGTCAACCATTGGACTTTAACCCCCAAGCATCACACGATTGGAAATTGATGGTGGCACCATTGTAACCCCACTTCATGTTACTCTCCCAACTGCCCAGTGGATCAATGTGATGTGGACATCATTAAAAAAGGGCGGCACCACCATTCAGTTGACAGGCCTGTCCCATAAAGTAGACCATCCCTTCTCAATACTTGCTTTCAGGGTTGCAATGAATGTTTGCACCATTTATGCTTCTTGCTGATCGTGGATCCAACAGCGGAATTCTGCCTGAGGGTGTAGCTCCAAATTTTGCATTTAGTTTGGTCTTGAAGAAAAAAAGATTTTGTGATTTTGATTTCAGGTGGATATTTTCGTTCCTCTCAAGGTTGAGATTTTCTGTTCTTTCTGCTTCAGAAAATGTAATATTCAAAAGTTGAAATCCTCTACCCCAAGCTTTTCATTTTTCTTAGTTGTGCGGGACGCCACTTAGGCGCTGGTTATTTTGGACATACGCTATTTTGCACAACCAGTACGAAGAGGCAGGCTGCTGGACCCAGGCTCTTTGGAACAGTGACCCAGGGTGAGCAACGGCGTCTGACAGCTGGAAGCCCTGGATGAGCAGTGTGTCCACTCAGAGAGAGGAGGATAGGAGGAGATACCGACCGTGGAGATGACAGACATTGAGGGAAAGGAGAACCAGGGGCAGGAGAACTCTGATAACAAGCTTGCCGCAGACCACCATGGACCACCGGATCATCACAGCAGTGCCCAGAAGGGCACTCCAAAGCAGCACCAACGTGACCACCACACCTCTTTGCTCAATGAGGCTGGGTTTGAGGACTTAGAAGAGTTCGTTTTGGATTTTGATGATTATGACTTGCTTGAGTCAATCCACACTCAGCTGGGGTCGCCTCTCGAGCCCATCCGTAAGTTCTGTGCGGTTGTGTTTCTGTGGAGATTCACTTTCACCTCTTGCTTAATAGCATTACATATTTCTCTACTCAGTGAAGGTGTTTTAAATGACACATACAAAAGTAGTGAAAGTTACATCAAGCTTGTGAGGCAATGGCAACATGATGGGAAATTCATTTGGATCAGCATTTTATTCTATTTTTAAATGCATAATCAATGTATGGGAGTTCATGTGTTTCCATTGATTGTAGCCCACTGCTAGCTTAATTAATGGTAATATGGAGCTTATTCATGGCCACAAACAGAACAAGGTTGTCCACAGTATTGAGCGAATTGACACAGTGCTCAACTGGTGCTGTTTCCTGCTTTCCATTGATCCAGTGGCGCCCATTTGGCTTTGGGCTCAGCCACAGCTAGAGCAGAAAGACATTTTATTGACAAACTGTGTGTGTGGTTCTGCTGTTTTGTTATTCCCATTTGGAAACAGCACATTAGTCATGTGAAGCTAGTGAAGTTAGATTTCAACAGACGTGAGCAGCCAGCAGTATCTGAGGACATATGCTAATGGGGTTCAGTTTTAGCTGAAAACATTTTGGCACTAACAGGGTTAATAGGAGAACACTGGACACCTACACTGGACACAAATGTGCAACATATGTGCAGATATGGTTGTTTCTCTTATAATTATCTCATAGCATATCAAGCTAATAGCATGATAATGATATTTTAAGTTTATTTTAGTGACTCTGATGGAGATGGTCCACTGATCCACCAGTCAATACTGAATCCTTTTGATAACTACATAGATTGCTGGTCCCCAGAGGATGAATCACCATGGCTTTGTTGACACTCTGATATTTTCTTTATAACAATGAGGTTGATGGTTATGGTTCTGTATGAAATGTAACAATAGAGAATTATTTAATATATCTTTAGAGACTTTTCATCTGGATCCAGCAGATTTCTTTTAATTTCCTGAAGTATGTCCACATCTGGTGAATTGGCACCTTGTTTTTAAGAGATTTTTATTACACCCTTGCAAAGTGAACTAATTGCTTTCACGGTTAATTTTGGTTATTCACTTACTGACAATACTAATGAACTGAGACTCAGCTATACTTTAAAGCTGGATAGCAAATATAAGCCTTATAGCACACAAATCAAAGATAAACACCTGATTAGCCTGAGCATTTAAATGAGCATAATAAGCACTTAGATAAACACTGCTTTGCCAAAGTACAGTCTCCCAGAGCTGCTGTGACTGTAGACCAAGGACAACCCAAGTGTCTTTTCTAGTTTTAGACCAATGCAGTTATCATTTTCCCATCTGCCACTTTTTTTCAATAGCAAATGTAACTAAGCCCATCAACTTTTTCATGTGGTTGTAAATGAGGCATGTTCAGGTGCAGTGGTGGCACAGAAATCAATGGTGCTTTGAACAACAAAAACCTGGTTTGGGGTCTGTGTCCCCGTATTTCACTGTTACTTTAAGTTCACATTATAATCCTATATAGATGGGTGCAAAAAGTACATCCACTGCTTGTCCCAGACACAGATTATCCAAAGATGATTCAAGGTGCAAGCCCACTTGGTTATTAAACAGAATAGCAGATGTCACATTGATTGGGTTGTCGCGTATTATGTCCAAAACACATCAATGATGAATTAAGAGACCATTAAGAACCATGCTGCTGCCACAGCAAAAAAAATCTGTTCTGTATTTTGACATATGTCAAAATATACATTGTCACATGTGCACAGATCATTAAAATACAAGATAGATATATATGGGAAAGGACAGATACTGTTTTTATGAGGAACTACACATGTGACCATCACTCTCCTATATTCTCAATTTCATGCATATATTAAGATACCTAATTTATTTGTCACTTTAATGTGGAAACACTCATTTCAGAGGTTCATGGCATGTCTGCTGACTGACTGACCTCATGAATCCAGATTTGTGGGCTCTTGCAGATTGTTATTCCTGAATACGTCAAAAAAGGTTACCCTGCTGTTTTAAGTAAAACTAGATTTTGGATTATTTAGTTATAGATATGCTGCATATCAGATTTGTGCAACAATTGAATTTCATCCAGGCTAAAAGCACAAACAAATAGAAAATCAGATATGTGGACAGCATGGTACCTGCCAAAAATATATATTGTGTAACCATTTTTGACATTTACTGGATTTGCTTTTCAGTCTTGGCACTCATCTAATTTCTAAATTACACAGAGATGAGTATTATAAACATGACATGGTTGGTAACACATTGACATTTTCCCCTAAAAATTACTATAATAATGTCCATGTGGGTCTTATCAGTGGCCCAAGTGATCAATCAAGACTGGGCATGATGCTGCACACATCCCCTAACAGAGAGGTTGTTCTTCCAGCTCACTACTAGAGAAATAAAATTCACAAGTTTATGAATGCGCTCTAAAGCCAGAAATGTCTGAAGTGAACAACAAATCATGTTTGAATCCTAGTTAGACTTGGCTTTGCGTTTTAAAGGCTGCATCTGTGTCCTTTTCACCCACAGTTATTTACAGTCATTGCCTGTGGTGAAAAAAAACAAGGGCGTCTGAATCAGCTGAAGTTCACATAAGGACGACCTGTGAAGCTTCTCCCATGGGAAACTTTACAAAATGAAATACAGCCAGATTTAATCTCCATTTCCATTTCTCTCTGCTTCCCTAAGGCGGGCATGACGCAGAAGAGTGACACACACACACAGTCAGTCTCTTGCGCACACACACTCACCCACACACACGCAGTCAGTCTCTCTCGCACACACACACACACACACACACACACACACACACACAACAAACATTGGTTGCCTCTGGGTTCTTGTGTGTAAGATTGAAAAAGACAGTCTTTATTTAGTAAGAAATCAGATTCAGTCCTTGGCCAGTGTGACTGGTTGGCAGCAGCTCTACACTGGACACAAACTTAAACACACCAACCACTTTTGTGCCTGTGTTTGTGCACGCTGCGGTGTAATAATGACAAACCATGTTCTGCAAACACTTCTACTCTCACATCTGGACGATGAGGGCCTCCTTACAACCATTAGAAAGAGGTTTGAGAATAGTTTCCTGTGCATTAGTGTCACATTCTGACCAATATCATTGATTTGGCTGCACAGTGGTGCAGTGATAAGCGCTGTCTACTCACAGCAAGAAGGTTTGTGGGTTGAATCCTGGTTTGGCCGGAGCCTGTCTGTGTGGAATTTGCATGTTCTCCCTGTTTCTGGGTTTTTCTACATTTTCCTCCCTCACTCCAAAAACATGCAGATTGGGTTCAGGTTCATTGGAAACTCTAGCAAGTGTCAATGTTAGGTTAATGGTTCGTCTCTGTGTTGTCTGCTGGTGACCTGTCCAGGTTGTACCCTGCCTCTCACCCAATGTTAACCAAGATTAGCTTCAGCTCCCCCTGCAACCCTCAAAGTATGAGCAGTGTAGATAATGGATGGATGAATAGAAAACATTTATGCATATGTTAATGTTTGTGTAGTCCTTACAAGTCAATTTTATAGACTGAAGTCTATAGGACGAGCATCAACAATTTGTTCGGAAATTAATCTAAACACAGTTAATTTAATATCAATATCATGTTGTGTATTTTCCTCTAAGAATCTCAAATGTAATTGTTCAATTATACTTCATTTCCTTGAATGTCACCAATTATTATAATTTGTTCTTTCAGTACAAAAACAAATACTGGACCTCAAATAAATACTAATGAGTTATGATTTTGCCAAATTGTTTTCATCACCAAAAGTCATTTTCTAAACACATTTCCACACACGCCTCTTACTTTTTCATTTTCCAGTTCCTTTCTCCAAAATAAGTGACCACCTAAGTTTCCCAGCCTTTTACTTCTCGAATGTTAGACAGGTCCTCAGAAAATCTCCTCATTATATAAAATTCAATATAAAATGATTAGCAGGTCAAGGAATTTGAAATTGGAATCACTCTCAGCTGACAAAACCACCTCTGTAACAGTTTCCCATGGTGCACAGATTCTCACTCACCCATAAAGCTTTTGTTGCTGGGTGGAAGATTTTGTCGGCTGGAAACCTGGACAGACATGGAAATGGTATTTCTAATTCTCTAACGTGAAATGCTCCCTGGTAAGTTTGTCTCTTACACATCAAATCTTGATGTTGACCTTCTGCTCTCAGGCCACAGATTTGAGGACAACCCCGGGGTGAGACGCCACCTGGTGAAGAAGTCGTCCCGATGTCAGCTGACCCGGGCCAGTAACAGCTCCACGCCTCTCTCCAGTCTGAAGAAGAGGAAGAGAGCTGCTGAAAAGAAGACACATGAGGTTTGCAGCACAATCACAGCAATGCTGTTTTCTCTCAACTGCAGAATTCTACATATTGACCAGTGGATGGAGACTTCAGCATGCTGGAAACATACAGTTTACACTAGTTTCTTTTGATATAGATTAGTATTTTGGATTGAGCCAGTTTTAAAACACAAATGATCCCCTTCCATTAGTCGTCATTTCTCTCATTATTAATACTGTATAAAAACGCAACTCAGACTAAATAACAGCTAAAAAGTAGTGGAGTGTGATCTAATATTCACTCACTTCAGTTTTACTGCAAAAAAAGGCACAAAAACTCAAAGTCTTTTTGTGTTGCTGTGGTAATGCTCTGTCAAACATCCATTCATTGCTGGAATTTAACAGAATTTTCCTCTTAACCATGTGGTTATCCAATGCTCGAGCCACACTTGTGTGTCACAGAACTTCTTGCTTTCAATTCATAGCCCATGTTATCAGGTTAGAGCGTCCGCACTGCCTGTGTGAGCCACGTGCCTCAGGTGCATCTCCTGCGTGTGAACCACGCAAGTGTTTTCTCCGTTTTCACGGCCGTCATGCGCTGCACATGCACCCAATGAGGATCAACTGTCCCTGATTACCAGCAATGTTTTTTCCGATTTGTATGATATTTCTTAGTTTTAAAAGAATAAAAAGGGGGAAAACAAGCAGCCTTGAAAGATCAAGGAGAGACATTTAATACTGATCATCTGGTAAACATATCCCATCTCATATTCCAGTATCTCTGACTATTACATTGGTATGAAAAACCATGTGTCTTGTGTTTTACTGATTAGTTTTGTGTCCTGTTTCATCTGCAGTTGTTTGTGGAGCTGAACGAGCTGATTGTGGAGAAGGATCATGAAATGCGTTGGAAGGAGCGAGCTCGCTGGATCAAGTTTGAAGAGGATGTGGAGGAGGAGACGGACCGCTGGGGCAAACCTCACGTGGCCTCGCTCTCCTTCCGCAGCCTGCTGGAGCTTCGTCGCACCATCACGCACGGTAAAAAGATCCCGCTTGAAGATGACAGTGCAAGTCCTATGGTTTGCCTATTTCCAGAGGCACATATATGCAAAATGAAATGATAAAATGAGTGCAATGGAAATAGTCTTGGGGCTATCAAGCACTGAAATACTTGCTAGACAAAAAAGTCTTAGCATCCACTGATGCCCCATGTCATCCTGTACATTTCACTTCATTAGGTGCCATCCTTCTGGACCTTGATCAGAACTCTCTGCCTGGAATCGCTCATCTGGTGGTGGAGACGATGATCATCTCTGATCAGATCCGAGCCGAGGACAGACCCAGCGTTCTGCGGGCTCTGCTGCTCAAACACAGGTCAGTAACCTGTCTGATACTAAGTTTGTGTACAATCTCAAGTCATGTTCTTCCCTCAAAGAACATATTTTTGTCCTGGCACTAAATGAAGGGGAAGGTATGGGGATGTAAAAAGCCTAATGACTAAGTTTTTAGGAATGTGTGAATGTCTGCTCAGAGGTGAAAACACAGGCCCCATTTGTCCTGGGTTACAACACTACAATTACTTATTCTACAAATCAATTCCAAACTATCTAAAGGATTCCTCCAAGCATAGAATACATAAAGATACATATCACACACAGATATACTTTAAGTGGAGACTCAGGAGGAAAAGTGGGTCGTCCATTTTCCAGAAAGTCTGGTTTGATCCTGGCTCCACCAATCTGAATGCCTGAAATTGTCCTTGGCAAGATACTGATCCCCTCATTGCCCCTGATGGCTGTGCATTCAGTAGTCAATCAGACTAGAAAAGTGCTAAATAAATATAGAAAATAATAAAATATATAAAAACAGTCAATTGATGTGAATCCATTTACCATGTAACCAACATCTTTTCACTGCAGTTATGGAATATGAGCGTGTTTAAGAGCTTATACTCGACCAATCACTTTCTTGAAGTCCGAGAATGAATTTCAGCACAATTAATGTGTAGCACTACAGTTAGCTGAATGCTTAAACAGGCAAAGTGCTTTTACAGTTAGATGCAGTGATTTTTGAGCTTCACAGTTGATTTGGATGTTCTACTATTATGGTTTTTATGCCTCTGTGCTGGGGCCAGTGGCTGGAGGCATTATGTTTTCGGGTTGTCCCCTCATCCGTGCCAATCTTGTGTACATGATATCACAAGAACATCTTGAGGAACGTTTTTTAAATGTTTGTAAAAACATTTACTTGTACACCCAGATGAATTGAGTAGATTTTGGTGGTCAGAGGTCAAGGTGACCTCTCAAAACCTGTTTTTGGACTTGTGAACACAACATCTCAGGAACACTTTGAGGGACAAACGTTCACTTGGACTCAAACATAAACTGATTAGATTGTGTTGCAGATGATCAAAGGTTGAGATAATGTGTAGTAAAAGATATTTTGGTAAACATGGTTTGTCATTGGGGCCGTACCAAATCCCATCAATAACCTGGTGTTGCTCTTCCCTGCAGCTCCCTCAAATCGGCTGTTGAAGTAGATGGAGAATCATTAAGCATGAGATTCCTATTCATACCTGTTTTGCTGCCGGCTTTGCAGCTGCATCTGCTCTTGCATTACCTTGAGGCATTGGATCTCAGCTGTGCTTCACATTTGCATACAGCAATCTCTTTTGGAAGGAGGATAGCATCCAACAATGCAGAAGAAAGTGTATGATGTGCACTAGGTTTGCCAAAATCAACTCCAAACGCATATGTGCTGTCCCGGTACATGTTAATAGATTTATCTTTTGCAAATTTGCATGCATCAGCTTGTGCTACTAACTCAGCAGCTTGTGCAGAGAATGTACATGGTAATGGTTCCGCTTTAAAAAAGCATCATGTGCAGTTACCTCTGCAAAACCTGTTAGATTTTTTTGATGTCTCTGGGTTGCATGATGTTGATCCATCCACAAGAAGGGTTCAATGAGATCTGGTCTGTAGATCTGGTCTCTGGGAGCAAACATCAGTTACTGCTACAACACAGTTATGCTCCTCACACTCCCCTGGAAGAGGAAGAGGAGTCAGAGGATTAAGCAGAGTGCATCTTATTATGGTTGTGTTAGGCAAAGACATTAAAACAGTGTGACTATCGGGTTATAGAGAAGTGATGTTTTGATACCACGTGTGGAACAAAGAGTGTCAGTGGGCTGTGACCAACAATGTCTCTTTAGGCAATGACAGCCTTCTTTGTTGCTGCCACTGCTCTCAGACAGAGAGGGAGTCCTGCTGCAACTGGGTAGAGTTTAGCTCAAAAATAAGCAACAGGTCTCTGACGACATCCATGCAACAGAAGAGATGTCATGCAACCTTGTTTTTCAGCAACAGTCTGTATAAGAGATCCCAATGTCAGTGTAGATGTAATGCTTCAGTTCAGTAAATGATTTGTCGTCAGTCCAAGTCACTTCACTGAGGGCTTGTAAGCTTTTTCCACGTGCTATAGCAGATAGAGGTGCTACCAGCAACACACAGTTTGGAATGAATGTTCTACAATATCACTTGTTTTTCAGTGAGTGGTTTTTTATGTTTTGTATTGCCTCTATTCTCTTGGCTGAGAGGGATTTGCCCTCACATGATCCAGAAATGTAACCATTTCCAATACAACCTATAATTTAGACCGGCTGGCATTGTATTCCAAAATGTTTCTGTAGTTTGACCTTATCTGTTTCAAGTTGTTCTTTTGTTGAAGCGCAGATCATACAATCATCCACATGTTGCAACAGTGCACTTCCTGGCCTTAATTACAATGTGCTTAAGCTTTCTTTCAAACAACCATTTTAAATGGTGGGTGACTTGGCGTAACCTTGGTATAAGCAAAAAAGTGTAAAGGCCTTATCTCCATACTGAAATGCTAACCAGAGTTGGCTATCTGGGGGCACAGGAACACTAAAACAATAAGTCAACCATAGACTACTACGTCTGCCTGTAACACAGACTTAAAAACTGGCATAATCACATCCATAACGCCCTTACTCAAATTATATATGTTCACAATCAGTAATCAGATTTTGATGTGATCACAACCGATTTGGGGCATTTTATTAATCCTACATGATATTTACTCTTTGCCCAGAGGGTGCTACCATTCAAGCGGAAGTGTATTTGTACAACTCACCCACCTGAAAACTACACAGACACGAATCCTCACAATTGATCCTTTTTTTCCACAAAACACCAGGAAGTAGTTACATCAGATCCTGTGCACTGGTTAATATACATCAAATGAAAAGCATGCTCTCCATCTCCAGCTCTTTCAGCTTATTGATTGGCACTTGTATTGACACAACAGCTAAACTGACCTAACACATGGCCAATGGAATAGTGCGCTACACACCCAGCTTTATAGATTCTTCAGAGTTACATAATGAAAAAACCAGTTCACTAAATGTCGGCTGTCAGACTGAATTACCAGAGGAGAGATAAACTATGCCTGTTAAAACTACAACGAGAGTAGCTCTCATTAGAGCGCATACATCTGTCGAGGCTGAGCAGTCCACACCCTCATATCAGTCCCATAAATACGCCTGATTTTCTTTCTCACAATGTTAAAGAAAGTGAAAAGGAATTGCCTGGATCAGACCCCTGATCTGGATTTGCACCAAAACTTAATAGGTTCTTCCCTGACTCATACCACATCAATGTTTAGTGGTAATCGGCTCAGTAGTTTCAAAGTAATGCTGCAAACTAACATACAATCAAACAAACTCATGCTCACTTTCTCCTGTTCATTAGTTCCACTTAAGAAGTAACTAAAAATAATATTTAATGTCTTATTACAATATTGTCATTTCAGATGCATAACCATGTAGCATAGCTTCAGACACAAGCTTCTTTCTGTGTTGGAGCTTTTGATCACATTTCCTCCGCAGACAGAGTTTGTCCAGTTGTCCAATTTCCATTTTTCTAAAAAACTTGAATGTTTACTTGGATGTTTCCTCACCTTTATAGTGTGGTGGCAGTGAAAGCAAGCAGGCAATGAATGGACTTAAGAGTTAGTTTTTTTTGTCAAATGCAGTTTTCAAGATGGACAATGTTATTTTCTGGTGATTACAGAAAATACTTTGATCCTTCTAATATTATGGTGACCAGATTCCCTAGTTGAGCAGAGCAGCTTCTTAGCAGCAGGCCATCATAGATTCATTCCATCTTTCACAGCCTTTCCTCATAAATTCCCAGCATGTTACCAGGGGATTGTACCAGTAAAAAAAGCAAGACACAAGAGTCATCACCAGTCAGAGGAAACAGATTTATGGAGTGAAAAGAAACACATGGAGATGCTGCTAAAATGTAGCTCATCGCTCTCTCTGACCATGTTAAAGATCCCCCAGAAACACGTGGAGAGACTCTAAATACTTCTCTTTCACGTGCTGATCGGTCACACAGATCAGTCACCAGCTGTGTTAGTGATGTTATAATGCAACTGTTACATTCCAACAATGTTAAGCCAGATTTTGTTGAGAACTTGATAGATTCACGAGCTGTGTTGCTGTTGCGTGAAGTAAAGCTTCTCAGCATGTCGAATGGAAATGGTTGAACAAGAATCACAGCTGGGCTGAGTATCTGTAGAATCAAAATGATCCTGCAGGTCTCTCAAAAAATTAAAAACTGCACTATTATCATATTGGAATCATAATTATCATCATCCTCAAACTAGAAAGATAAAGGGAGGTTATTTTTGACAATTTCTGTTATTTTTGAGGGAAACAAAAAGCCGAATTAATTCTTGAATGTATTTTTTGGACCTGTGGAAACATTTGTTGAAAAGGAATTTTAATGGCAACTGAACCAAGTCTGTTCAAACGGAGCAAACTCCTCAGACCGTCCTCCATGCTGCTGGGATTATCACACTGGTACAAGGCAAAGGACTCAGAGTGCAGACTCTGAGACAGGATCAGCCTCAAAGTCTTTTAATCCAAAAGTTCAGTGCATAAAAACAGTCCAAGAGACAGCAGATGTATCAAATCATGAGGCAAAAATCACCACGTGCATCAGAGGTCATAAACAAAGAAACTGTGTTAAACAAAGTTCTGGAACTGACAGAACTGCAGAGAAACTCAGAGTAAAGACAATAAGACACGGGTCTGACACATTAGTGCAGGTGTGGGTCATCTGGAGGATCAGGGTAGAAACCTGATGAAATCTGAGTTTCAAAATAAAACAGGAAATGAGACAATGTGCAGAATAAAAGGTAGACGTGACAGAGATGAAGTGTATAAGGCTGATAATGATTAGCAAGTGTCTTCCAGATAAAGTGAAAATCTAACTTGTGTTTTAGGCCTTATTACAAAATAATAGAGAACTTCTGTACCAATCCACACAGTGCTAATCGTGCACTACACAACTTGTTAACATTATCAATGTGAACTCTTTTTTTTCTTTCTCTTTCTCCTCCACAGCCATCCGAGTGATTTCAAACATCGTTTTCACCGCCACCACTCATCCAGCAGTCTTCATGGCAGCTTCAATCACAACAACACCCATGACACCAATCTGCCGCTCGTGGCTGAGGAGCACGATGAACACCAGGATAACAAAGGGCCGGTATATGACCCCAAACAAGACGTGTTTGTCAGCCTCTTTGTAAGTTTGCTTCTTTTTTATGGACATCTTTTTGTTCTGAATTGTGAAGCAGTGGTTTGGATGGAGGTTTGTGATGTAACTATGCAGGCAGACTCCACAGCAAATGCAATTCCCCAAAGCCAAAGTGATTAACCAGTTTTGACAAGAACCCACTTGGATAATAGAGCTCAGCTATCTAAACGAGCAGAGATAAAAGCTGTCTCGTTTGACTTTATGGTTTGCATTAAGTTCTAAGGATCGGCAGTAAGCACAGATTTGAGCGTGATTACTCTAAAGTCATGATGCGAGACCTGTGGCTATGATATTGTTCTTTGAAACACCCTTCCATGAGGTCAGAGGTGGCGTAGGTAGCTCTTGAAGTCAGAGAGAACAAGCCTCTCTGGGTCACATGTGTTGACTTATGATTTCAGTCAGCTTACAGGTGTTTCTGCTTAAAGCTTCCTGATGCATTAACTGTGAAAAGTTAATGTTCCCCATGGCTTAAAATGTTGGCAAATTTAAAACAGCCTGTCATCAAAATTCTCTTCAAACATGAAGAGGCAGTTATGTGGCTGTGTGGTGTAAAATGAATTGCATTAATTAATTATTGTTCAGACATACTGTGCATTGCTATCTGCACAATAATGTCTCAGTACTTGTCCCATATGATGTCACATCACACTGGAACAATTATGTGGATCATCTCTGTACTTGTCTCCCTCCAAGAAATCTCTCCACCCTCTGCCTCCTGAGAGCCATCCAGCTGCAGCCAGATCAATGAAACTGCTTGCCAAGATTCCCAAAGACGCAGAAGCTGTCATTGTTCTAGTCGGTAAGGGAAGGTAGATTAATTAAAAGAATGATTATTGATTCCTTTTTATAAACTACCAAGAGAGGAATCTGCTTGTTGTAAAATGTTCAATACGTTTGGGCTTCATATTCAGTATAATTCAAATAAATTCCATCTAACTACTAATTGCACATACTGTCTGTCAGTATGTTTAACGCATAATTCATTAACCGTTCATTTTATAGACTTCACACTTCTCATGTGCATTTTAAATTGCCCAGGAAAGTGCAGTCCCTACTATGGTGCAATTTACACGTACGATATGTTCAGTATTAATGGACATTGAAGATGAGTTGTAGATGTCGTCTTTTTCGTGAATTAACAATAGCAGTGGCCGGCAACAGGGTCAAAACTGCCACCAGATGATTTTCATCCTTAGATTTTCTTTATGTCGAACTGAGACACAGAGTACAGGTCCTGATATCTGTCATGGCAACAACATTCATAGAATCGCTTCTTCTACAGCAAGTTGTCTTCAAAGTAAAAACATTTGTTATTCCTGTAATGCTCCATAAAGAACTGGAAAACAGAGCTTTTATTTTGCAATGTATGAAAAAATAACAGCAGTTTAGTAAATCATTCAAACTTATATTTAAACTACATACATGAACAGTAATAAAGCAAATTCTGTTTCATTTTATGAAAAACATCAACTATAAGGTCGTCTTTGCAGATAAACCAATAACATCCAGCACGCAAACGATAAAAAGTGACAGTATATTGTTGAACTGTTTGAGGGCGACTCACTAATGACAAGGAATAATTCTGAAGTAGCTCTGGAGCATCAACACAGGACGGAGAATAGAACGTTCCAAACCGAACATCAGGCACTGTACTTTTCAGAATAATAAGCATCACCATTGCACCCATTGCATTCCATCCAGGTTCACAAATTGTGCTCCTAATGTGGAGCTGTGGAAGATCGCTAATAGTTAACCTTTTTTTTTTTTTACTATCAGGCTGTGTTGAGTTTCTGGAGCAGCCGGCCATGGCGTTTGTCCGGCTGAACGAGGCTGTGCTACTGGAGTCAGTCCTGGAGGTCCCCGTCCCTGTTCGCTTTATTTTTGTCTTGCTTGGTCCCAGTCAGTCCAACATGGACTATCATGAGATCGGACGCTCCTTCTCCACTCTCATGTCGGACAAGGTATTTTCCTAATTTCAGTCAGAGGAAACAAAGCAACAGAATGCAAACAAAATATTCCTCTCTAAGAAAATAATTTAATAGATATTTATATATTTCAAAGCAAACTAGTGATATCTTATTTTATCATGTGTGTCTTGAATTTCCTTTCTTCATCATTCAGTTGCTAAAATCTTTTTAAACTTTGCCGTAGAACTTCCATGAGGTGGCCTACTTTGCGGACGACAGACAGGACCTCCTGAATGGGATCAACGAGTTCTTGGACTGCAGCATCGTCATTCCACCCTCGGACGTGGAGGGCAAAGACCTCCTGAAAACGGTGGCTGACTTCCAGAAGCAGATGCTGCGCAAGAGGAAGGAGCGGGAGCTTAAAAAGCAACACTCCACGTGTGGAGTGGTGCAGGAGAACAAAGGTGCTCGGTCAAGTCTCTCCACACCTCCAGTTGCAGGGAGGCACCTCTGACTCTGCAGACCAGCGGAAGTCATACAGTGCAAATATGGCTTTTACAGCTAGGCATTAGCAATCCAGATAGATATGATTCCACCAGTAATCAAACACTGGAGCAAGAAGGTTACATTCAGAGCTGCAATGATTAATCGATTACTCCATTAGTATATCCAATTGGTTTGAATCAATAAATCTTTTTCAATGAAAAATGCGAAACATACTTGTTGCATGTACTCAAATGTGAGAATGTGGTGCGTTTCTGCACTCCTCACATACACTCTCAGCTGTGGATCTAATACACATAGGTAAATTGTTGAAAATAAGAAAAATAAAATTATAACGTTTCTCTCCATCTGTGATATTGAGGTGCAGTATCAACTTGATGAGCTTGTGCCTTTAATGTTACCTTTATTATATTCAGTACTAGTTTCTAATTGAGTGTTTAACAACCCTCCTAGAGGTGAGCCCAGAGGAGGAAGGAGAGGAAGACCAGGAGGTGGATCCGCTGAAGCGCTCTGGGATCCCATTCGGAGGCCTGATCCACGACATCCGCCGCCGCTACCCACACTATGTCAGTGACTTAAAAGATTCCCTGGACATGCAGTGCGTCGCCGCTGTCATCTTCATCTACTTCGCAGCACTGTCGCCCACCATAACCTTTGGAGGCCTGCTGGGTAACCTGAAACTCTAAACAACATGAGAAAACTGAATTTGCCACTTTGATAAAAACAGCGGCATGTTTCCCATGTGTTTATTTTGCACACAGGAGAGAAAACAGAGGGGATGATGGGAGTGACTGAGCTTATCGTTTCGACTGCAACTCTTGGAGTGATATTTTCGCTGCTTGCTGGTCAGCCCCTCCTCATCATTGGCTTCTCAGGACCATTACTGGTGTTTGAAGAGGCCTACTACAAGGTACCTCACCTGTATTTTTTTACCCCCAGTAGAACCCCCAGTTTATCAATCACACACTCCAGTGTCTTTTAGTTCACAGAACATGCACTAATGTCTTCGTCCTCTCACTCAGTTCTGTCAAGCTCACAACTTTGAGTACCTGACGGGTCGGGTGTGGATCGGTTTCTGGCTCATCATCATCGTCCTGGTGATTGTGGCGGCAGAGGGCAGCTTTCTCGTCCGCTACATTTCGCCCTTTACCCAGGAGATCTTTGCTTTCCTCATCTCCCTCATCTTCATCTACGAGACCTTCTCCAAGCTCATCAAGGTTAACTGATTTGGACACCACAGTGTTTAGAAGTTAATATTTATAATTTTATCCTTCCCTGGTCCTTTCTGCAAAAAGCAGAATTTACAGTCAGTCGCTGGAGGATAAATTGTGGCTCCTGTCTTGTTTCCAGGTCTTTAAGGAACATCCACTGATGGCCATGTACACCAGTGATTTAACCCCAGCTACTGAGCTTCAGGATATCGAGGGCCCCATCTTCAACCAGCCCAACACCGCTCTTCTCTCTCTGGTCCTTATGATTGGCACTTTCTTCGTTGCTTTCTTCCTCAGGAAATTCAGAAACAGTCGATTTTTAGGTGGCAAGGTAATCATTTAAAAACCTTTAACTTAAACTGTATGTACATTGAATTGTATCCAATGGAGCTTTGTTGTGAAAAGATAAAGCTATGTAGAGGAAAAGTGATGAGCCTCCTATGTATGTATCTTATATTATGAAATATCCCGCAAACACTGACAGATTTTTTGGGAGAGTGATTGTGGAGATTGTAGCAGTGAAATGGCCACATTAGAACTTAATGTGTGTACTAGCTAAAAAGATAATTTTGAGTTTGGTTCATGTCCCCTCTAGTAACTTGTAGAGGCGGGGGGGGGTGACCTACATTGCAGGAAGCCAAAAGGAGTCAATCCAGATGTTAAAGCTTCACTTTTGAGGAGCTGTCATGTCGTGTTTTGCTGAAGTTAACATGCTAACAAGCCAGCCCACATGTCTGTGGCAGAGAAAAGTTGCTGACGCCTTTTATTTATGTTTGCTTTCTCAATGTCCTCAGGCCAGAAGAATCATCGGTGACTTTGGCATCCCTATTTCAATTTTGGTTTCAGTGTTGTTGGATTATGCCATTACTGATACTTACACACAGGTAAGTGCACTGTCAGTCACTTCAGTCACATTATTGTATTACAGCTGTTGAAGTCAGTGTCTTTTCTACTTAAACATAACTACTTTATTCTGATTTCAGAAACTCAATGTGCCGTCAGGTTTTTCGGTCACGTCCCCTGACAAGAGAGGTTGGTTTATCAGTCCCTTTGGTGATAAGCAGCCTTTTCCAACTTGGATGATGGGAGCAAGTATTGTACCTGCGCTTCTTGTCTTCATCCTCATCTTCATGGAAACTCAGATTACATCGTACGTACAGTGTGATTATCTACAGTGGTAATACATAGTACTTTATACTTTTTACAAACCGAGCTATAGGAGATTTCCACCTTTTAAACATTGTCACATCACTCTTTCAATCCCTCAGATTGATAGTCAGTAAGAAGGAGCGTCGTCTGGTTAAAGGCTCAGGTTTCCACCTGGATCTGCTGCTCATCGTCATCCTGGGTGCCTTCTGTCCCCTTTTCGGCCTGCCATGGCTCACCGCAGCCACTGTCCGCTCTGTCACTCATGTCAACGCACTCACGGTCATGAGCAAGGCCACGGCACCTGGCGAAAAGCCCATGATCCAGGAGGTGAAAGAGCAGAGGCTGACCGGGCTTTTTGTGGCTGTGCTTGTTGGTAAGAGGAAATGGGACCATGGGAAGAATGGGGTGCTTGTTGACCATTATACCATTATTAAATGTCCCCTGATAGCATACAGGTCTACACACTGAAAAGTCTAATGCTTGTGCAGTAAGCATTCTCAACCTACCTATATGGAATGGCCTGTTTGCTTGGCCTGTGATAATGCTGGTTGCAGCTTTCTTTCTGAAACTGTACAAGTGACCTGCAGTAATTTACCTGCAGCAAATAAAGACCTGCTGCTGGACTCAGGTGAACAGCTCTTTGTGCAGCAGTGGTGGTGCAGCCTCAGGGATCTCTGGACTATTTATTCATACTTCATTGAAGCTCAGCTCAGTACGCAGAACCCCAAACTGCGAAATCAGTAGTCATGCCATTCTAAAGAATTTGCCCATTGTTGCATCACATTGATGAGTCCCTGCCACCACTGCCAGAGGGCTGCATGCCTCTTCATTCAAAGTTTAATACTATTGAACATAAACATGTTCAAATCACCCCAAATTGGACACTGCACTTTCCTGGGCCCTAAACAATACCCATGCCAAGTGTGAAGCTGATCAGATTATTAGCTCTGAAGATATGCGTTCCACATACTGAATTGAAATTATATGATAGGTTAAGGGCTATGTTTGAATAAATGACATTTCAATTAAATATTGAAGATATATGTTGCTTTAGCCCTAGTCTTTAAACTCAATATCATGCCCTCAGAACCCTTTTTACAAAGCCGGAGACCCACTGTTGCAACAATCACATCAATTATTTCAGTGGTAAATCTGCAGATGTCCTCACTGTACTTTGTATGTGCTAATAGGCTGCCAGAGCGGTAGCCTGAAAAAAGCAAAACAACGAATTGGTTAGTGGAACGATCCATTTGTGTACCGTGAAAAATGTCATGTGTTTTGTCTTTTTAAATCTCTTTTTTATCTGAGAGAATGACTTATAAATTGACCTTATTAAACAAGAAAAACCTTGAATTCCAAAAAACCTGTCTTGAATTGCATCAATACAACAGTCGAATAAAGAAAAGGTCTTGATTTTCCAAATGATTGTGATTCATGTTGAAGTCAGCCTGTGCAATGTGAAAATGATTTAACACTCTGTTTAAAGATTTTCTTCAAAATGAACAGACATCAAACTAAAAGCTAGTCTGTTTTTGTTAAACTCAAAATACAGTCACCATATCGTATTGTTTTAATCCACTGACTAGTGCCAGCATGTCAGCAGAATATCTTGTTTCTGTTCATTTCCTAAAGTTGTCTTAAGCATAGTTTGGGTATACAACCATAATGAGCCATCTTGATTGTTAGGCTTTAATTTGATTATAAGTAAGATGTTTGGATGGGCCCACAAAGTGCTTCAACAAAGTGACCAGTGAATGTGTTTTAAATAAGCAACACTCACAGCGTGTTTGTCATGAGGGCTGCCACTTCATCATTGTCCATACCTGCAAATTATTATGCATGTGTGTTTCAACAACAGCAACTTAATTTGAAAAAGTCACTGTTAACCTGTCTCCATCCATCAGGTATGTCCATAGTGATGACAAATGTGCTCTGCCTCATCCCCCTGGCTGTGCTCTTTGGTATCTTCCTGTACATGGGAGTCACCTCTCTGACGGGCATCCAACTGTATGAACGCATCACTCTGATGGTCACGCCTGCCAAGCATCACCCTGATCACATCTACGTCACCAAGGTAAAACAAAAGCAGCCATAATCATATTCCATAATTACAACACCATAATCTATGTAATATATAAAGTATATATAAACAGCAGGGTAATGTGTTAACATGCACAACATATTTCCAAGATGACTTTAAATCAATAAAAATAAGTATGTAAATAAGTTTAAATTACTGGTTTATTCCTCAACAATAATAAAAATAAAAAATCCATAACCTTCATTTGTCTCATTAATTTACTCCTACAGAAATGCATGATTTACCACTAGATGGAGCTAGAGTTTCATTTTGCTGGGGCACAGTGTGGGAATGTGTGTTTCATGTGTGAGGGCCTATGTGTGTACTGCGGTTTATTGTTTTTTGGTTTTCTACCCATTAACCAACCACGCGTTTGTCGCTTCAGGTGAAGACATGGCGGATGAACATGTTCACCATCATCCAGTTGGCATGCATCGTGGCACTTTGGGTAGTGAAGTCCACTGTGGCCTCCCTGGCGTTCCCCTTTGTCCTCATCATGACGGTGCCTCTGCGCCGCGTCATCCTCTCCAGGATCTTTCAGGAGCGTGAGCTCCAAGCGGTAGGTTTGGCAGCAGACGCTTTCCAGGGATGTTTGAACCTGTGCCACAATCATCTGCTCTGACATACTGTAACCTTACTTATTTTACATCAAATTTAACATGAGATGGATGTTGGCATGAACTTGACATTCTTCATAATTTTCTCCTGTGTGATTATGGACAGCGTTCTCATCCAAATATTTTCAAATGATATGCAAATATTTCTTTTCACCCTCGGTTCTAACCAGAAAAAGATCTGCGACCCATTGTGAGGCCACACTTCATGTTTTCTTGGTCTGATCCCCTCAACCCATATGTGTCATCACTGTCAGATTCAAACCTTCTATTTCCAAAACGTCCACTTTTTCAGGAGCTTGGATAAACAGCTTTGTTCTTAGCTTGACCACCATGTGTGCTGTGTTCATCCAAAGGCCTCATGAACTTGAGGAACTAGAGAATTTCCTAAACCACCAAAAAATTAAGTTAAACTTGAAAGTTATTAAAACTAGACCTCCATGATGTTACATCCCTCCAACCTTCATTCTTACATACACATTGCTTTGTACATTTCAGTCTTTATTGTATTTCTTGGTTTGTTCTTTAATTATTTTGAACCAAAGAACTCCAAAGTGTCATCTTTTAGTGTGCTGGCAGTGGCCTTATACATTTAGAGTCTATATATAAGTGTATTTCTCAAAATATTTATCTTTGCCTGTTATAAGTAGTAGGCCTATCAGAAGTTTAGCTTTTGAATTAATACTTAAATACAATATCAGTTGTCATGAAATCTACCAATGTTTCCCTTGAAGTGAACAGACACCCAATTTTTCTTATGTCAGCATTTCCTACACTTAATTCAATCACGCACAAAGGTCACCATCTAAAGACTGTGAAAGATGCACGTGAGAGAAAGAACTCTAATGATGGCAAAACTGCTGCTGAAACTATCAACTCTGACTGTCTACGTGGTCTGTAAAAACTTTATGGATCATAGCATGAACGTGCATCAAATAGCAGTCATTAGTGTAGAAAATGCTTTGGTGCATTTTGAAACTGTTGCAGAACAAATTACAATATGTCAGGCTGCCACGGTCTAGATAAATACTAGGAAACACTGAATGTTGTTGATTGGATATTCAGTCCACAGAGTTTGGTTGAAGCCAAAAATCTAAATCCAAACAGGACCTGAGCAAATTACATGGAACTGATTGAAGATCATTTGTTTTTTCGCAGCTGGACTGTGACGAAGATTCTCCTAACTTTGATGAAGACGGACGGGACGAGTACAACGAGATCCACATGCTTGTGTAAATCTCAAATGGGCCCAGCTCCATCCTGCAGCTCTGAACAATCTAAGCCTCTCTGGAAACCTCAGCAAAGCAAGAGGAGCTACCATAATGGTGTTTGTAAAATATACAAAAGCAATGGCTGGATAATTACTTAGCTTTGTTTATTCCAGTTTTTCAAAGAGCACACCTAACGTTAGATCTCTGTGGTGGTGGTGGAAGTGGTGTGCGTTAACCTCCCTGAAGATGTTCTGTCAGAGGCCAGCGAATAGCTTTGAGCAAATAGCTTCTGATGCAAACCACCTGACTAACATGAATCCTTAATCCAACTTTTTATCCCATCTATCCCTTTAACTACTCCGCAGGTTCTGGGCAAAAGTGCAATGATGATGGTGACCTCCTGGACAACAGCTGGTGATGATGATTTAGGCGGATTTTGGCACTGAAAGTGGGAAATCTGGTCAATTTCCTCTCATTTCATTCAGGAAACAGACATTCATCAAAATCTATTATTGTTCAGGTGACGTGACCCTAAAACTTAAAGCCCTGAAAGAATTCACTGCCTTCATAGTTTAGCAGCCTTTACTACCGACATTTCCTGTAGGTTGCAATGATGTGTGAACAAGGAGTTAAGTAGTGTTCCTGTCTGTACAGACTTTTAGTAATGAGCACTGTTGTTGAGTCACAAAGCCTCCTCTCTGAACGAAGACTCCTCCTGATAGTGAAATCTCTACTGAGCCTTCAAGAGGTGTTACTGTACTTTGTTAGGTGTTTAATGCCCAACATACCAGTCCACTGGGCTTATTATTGTGACCTTGGATGTATGACTAAATAGCTAACATGGTCTCAACCTTATTTTTCTACTCTGTCTTATTTATTTTGTGTCCAGATCCTCAGTGCTGTTGAGATTTCAGATAGCTTCAACAGTTTAAGATTAAAGATGAAATAAAAAACAACGATATGTAAGTTGATGCACTGAAAAAACATGATTCATCCATTCTTTCATCTTTTCTGCAAGATTTCGACAGTGTTGTGCATTTTATAATGTAACACTTGACTGGAAAAGTATCGAAACTAAGCAAACGTACAAGTGCTAAAATTGTCGGGGAACAGTTGAGTGTTGACAGAATGTATGAATGATGCTTTGTACAGTAAGACTGAACTTTGAATTATAATGTACCGTCTGTGCTCAGAGTTGTTTTGAAATACCAAGAGATTTAGTTTTCACCTCCCATACTGCGAAACCCATTAAAGAATTGGAACACTTCTCAGAAACCTTACTTCTGCCGCACAGAAAACACTGCCAGAGCTATACTGTTCGGAAAAATGGCACCAAATTTCACAAGGCATTTAGAAATAGATGTGGTTTCACTTAGACTAGTGTGTTGGTGTGTTCAATGTTGAAAGGGCATTCCATGGATGTTGCCTAAGGTGAAGAATAACCAAGAAAAAGCCATAAGGTCAAGATTCACTGGTAGTTTCTTGGATGTTCTGTGTCAGCTCCTCTTAACGTGATGATGCGAAGGACACAAGTCAAAATGAAAGAGGGCTCCTGAACATCTTCATCACGCGTCTGAAAACTATAGTTAACAAACATTTTCAAAAGAAATTGTGTGCAGAATTCTGTAATCTCCTAACACGTGTCATATTTAAACACACTGCACGGGAACACTCGAGTGTAAGTAGCAAACACTACACAGACACTGTGAGGCAGCTGAAGGGGTTTCTGGAAAAAATTACATTTGTCTATTTACCAGTTTACGTAAAAAGAAAAAAAAGCTGCTTGAAAGTAAAGCACAGATAGTGACATTCTAAACATTAACCCTAAAATTGCTAATGGTCAGCAGTGTATTAAAATGTATGTATGTTAGCCACAAGTTAATTTCACACAACCATGTCCTACATTATAAGCCATGCAAGAATTCTGTCTCAGGGGAAACTGACCTTCGATCTGTAAATATTGGTTCCCAGCCTTTAGTTTGTTGTTGTCCTTTGTACATAAAGCGGTCAAGGCAATCCAACATGTGCAATGTAAAATATATACGGCATACATCCCAGGATTTTGTGTTACACAAAAGAGAAGAGGTGAAGAGGGTCAAGAAAAGAGAATGTGTTAGCTCCATTGAAGTGACTTGGAATTGAACTGTAAATGAGGCCTCCACTTTGATGTGCAGCATCCACCTGCTGGAGTCTGTGTTTCATTCTGCTGCTCAGAGAGTTAATGAGTTACTCAATGTGCTTTACATTAGCGCTGTGTAGCAGTTTCATTCAAAATTGGCTGCTGTGCTGTTAATGGACCTTTTCAACCACGTGTTCATGTTTCCGCTTTTTGCAAAGACTGGAATTTGTCTCCATTATATTTGGCCCCACTGTGCTCATGACATTTTAAGTGCTAATGCTTGGCTGCCTGTGTTTTCAGGCACATGATCTTCCTTTTCAGATTCAGCAAAGCTGATTCCGATTAATGGAAGACTTTTGACGACAAGCTAATGTTCAGGGTTAGAGATGCCTTGAGGACTCAAAAAGGATTGTGAGTCAATGTCAATGGCTAGAATTTCAAAATTTCCATTAATGTGAATATTATCCCAAGTTTAATTTAGTAATTTTTTTGTTGTTTTAATTAATTCAAAAAACGTCTTTCACAGTATCCCTGCATGATTGTCTTAAAGCTGTTTTCCCCCCTTGAACATATATTTAAAATTTAAGTACAATTCAGGTCGACAAATTAGCCAGAGAAAAATAAAGGACCTGACCTCCAGCTAAGGCTCCTCAGATATCTGTCTTCAAAATCACACATCCTATGTTATGGCACTTTACATTGGACTCAACCTGGGATATAATTAGGTTATAAGATTCACATTTTAATTCCGAACCTGATGTTACTTCAATAGCTAACTTCTATTCAGGGAATTAAATGCGAAACACCTACACATATAATCTAATGACAGACATTTGATGGACTTGATCAGTAGTTTTAACCTGATAAGGATCAAGCCATTAAGCTTATTTAAACCAAGGATAATTGTGCAAGTGTTCATTTCTTAGAACTGAACCTAAAGTAGTGCATAACAGCTGTGTGTCTGGACAGTGGAGTTGCTGCCATCTGAATCCAGTGGAGCTCACACGGATCCACGTCCTTTGTTTTTAGAGAACACAAATCTGCTAAGACTGTTCAACACATCCACGTGCTTTTGTTATGACAAGAATGGTTGTGTTGGAGTAGGCAGCAGTCCGGACTGAGCCGGCCAGAGTATACTTAACAAAACGTCCCTTCAGTATTTACACAAGGGAGAAACGAAATCGCCAGTATTATTTAGGATAATAAAAGGTGGGATGCTGCCACTTGGTTCTGTCTGGGCGGTGGATGTTGAAACATTTTTTTTTTGACCCACAAAATGTTTTACCTTGTTAATGTTCCGAGTCCACAACATTTCGTCACCTTATACGACCACAGTAGCAGGACAGACCACCCACCCAAATCTAAGCATGTGTTAAGTCTTGAACCTCTTTTGATTCATCTCTATGGGTTTGAATGAAAACATTGAATTTGTTGAGTTCTCTCATATGTAATCATGTATTATTTAATTGTTATTTAACTAGAAATCAGATGTCATGCTGATATTCTCAAGCTCAAAAGAGTAAAAGCTACAGCTACAGAATGCCATTATTTTTTTCTTAAATTGTGCTGCATACCAAAAGTTATAGTTAGAGTGAGTTTCCTATTTTGGTTTTGGTGATATTCTTTGCTGTAAATACAAAACTGTCCTAATAAATGGTATATATTTTATTATAACATTATTATTGTGACGGAATTCTGATGATGCCACAATAGTATGTTTCAGTTTTACCACCTATACCACTAATTTACAGCTACAGTTTCTATAAAATATCAGTATTCATTTCCAAACACTGCTAAAGCTGCAATAAGCATTTTTGAACCTCTAGAGCACAGGCGGCCATTCCTCAACACACTCACAGCAACAAGCCTTGATCTGCTACTTGTCGAGGAATGTGAGCACTGTTAAATGTGCTGTTTCATGGAGCTTTGTGTCGTTTCGACGGCACAGAGATGGTCACTGTGAGGTCAACACAACAATCCGATGATTGCAATTTGTAACTCATCCGATTACAATGCAGTTTGTTCGTAACACAGATCTTGAAGAGCAGCTCCATCTTGCTATTGCTGTAAAGAGGTTTTCAAAAGACTGTAAAATGTTATTTTTTTGTCTGAAATAAATATTTATTATGTGTTTCAAATACAAACAGAATCCTTCATTTTTTTCACAGAGCAAGCTTTTCAACATCTCACATACACTTTGGTGAAGTCGGTGTGAAACAGTGCAGTAAATCTTTGAGCCTTTGTTTTGAATACTTGCTGTAGGTGCCAGACGGGTGGAATTAACCATGGAAAACAAAATAATGACTTCAGGAGGTTTATACATTCACAGCGGAGTACTCAGACAGTCAAATATCATTTTTCTATGTCTACAGAATTAATCACGTGCTAGGCGTATAGTGATTTACAGAACATCATGGCACACCAAGCCATATGGATACATTTGACATTTGAGAAGAAAAAACTTCAACAATAAAAAGTTTGACAGTTGCTTAAAATACATATCACTCAGTCACAGTGCTCCTCAGATATTAGGCAAAGTAATGTTTGAAAATGACCATGAATTTGATCACAGTGAATACTAATAGAAAATATGGCATGTAAGTGGGCATCCTGAAAAGAAAGCTAGAGGAGCGTTATACTTTATGTTGGTGTTTATATATGTTTGTTTGCATGTAATGTATTTTAAGACAGTGTTTTATTTTCACAATTACCAGCATCAAGGACATCATGTTTTTGCCCTGTCCATTGTTGAGTGATTGTAAGACAGATTATGCAAAAAACAACGACTACCGATTTCCACAAAAATTGCATCGATGAGATAAAGTCCAAGAAATAACCTTTTGGGCAGATTTGGACTAGGGAGTTTTTTTGACAATGTGAGAGTATTTTCTGACATTTTCCTCGATTGATCTTAATAAATAATCAGACCTTTGTAAGGAATTAATATCTATGACTGACTGCAATTTAGTGTGTTTGATTTAATTTAAGTTCTGTTGGGCTTTGGTGGAGGTATTCACTTTACTGAGTGCTATTCAGATTATGCACCTTCATATAGACAATGTAAAATAAAGATCACAGCTCAAGCTTCAATAGCTTTCCTTTATATTTACGAATGTCAACCACTTGTTTATCAGTCTGAAAGTAAAGTATAGCTGCACTGGAATAACTATTGTTGCTAATATAACTTTTTTGCAAACCAAACTAGTTAATTTGGGAAATTGTAATTATAATATCTCTGAAAATCACAAACTAAATCTACAATGCCGAAGTGCTAGCAAAGACAAATATCTATCCAAGTGACAAGTTTGATTAGCCGACAAAGGTAAAGGCAGGGTTGGAAAGTTGTTTCTGAAACATTTTTTATCTCATTTGTTGAAATCCTTTTCACAGTCTGAGATCAATAAATAAAGTTGTCTGATAATAGAAATCACTGTGCATGAACAGATTCTTCATAAGCTACAAGTTAGCAAGAGTCATGGTAAAGTCCGCTTCTAGCAGAGGTCAGTCGGTGCACGTTCATGTGTTTTGGGGACAATGTCAACATATGGTGTTGTGCCAGAGGTTTAATTTACCGAGTATACGGGAGGTAGAAGTGTTAATTTAGGTCAGCTCAACTGATCAGACCTCCAAAATGTCAAACAAGTGAGTCCTTTGGTGGTGAGAGAAAGACACAGAAAAGGCACAAGGAGGGTAATAATGATACAAGGTGATATTAACATGATAAAAGTGATGAGAGGGGGGTCTTGGACCAGTCCACAATGTGAAAAGTACGTCTGGTGGACAGCCAAGAAGACCTTGTCGACCAAAAACCATTTACCCCTGCACCAAGATTTTTTGGCCCAGGCGTCCACACAAAGGCACAGTTGGTTGTAGATGCTGCAGAGATTGAGATCAAGTCAAAGGACAATGTTAAAAGACTCATACTTGCTCTATAGGTTGGATTTTAAGGATCTGGTCATTCTGTTGATGAAGCTTGATGACCTTTACAGTTGCATATAGCATTGAAAACATATCCCATTCGTTGACCTTATAGCTAACTGCTGGCCTTTTTTTTTCCTTGGCTATCAATGAATTCAACCCGACACAGCGTGTTTAGTTTTGGCAGTTCGAGAAGAGGCATATGAGATATATTAAATACTTTGAGATGATGCAAAGAGACATCAGTCAGAACATGTAACGATGGAGACTCACAGTTTTTTATGGATGGAGCAGTCACCCACTGATGAGGAGGCAGCTTATTTCACCGTTAAGTTTTGATTGTCTCGTCTTATAGGTGGGTCAACGACCACAGTCTCACTGAAGCCGCATAAATTTAGCGAGCAATTCTCACCAAGAGACTTTAAGGGTGGAAAACATGAAACACATTTAATTGAGCCTTACAGTTGGAAGCCTGATCAACAAGCTTGGCTCTTTGTGATGATGGATGCTCCACCCTTGCAAACCATTTGAGCTCCATGAGAGTACAGCCTCAAACTATGTTAGCAGTAAAATATGGATTATTACAGCCATAATTAAACCCCACCGCAGGCAGAACAGCAAGAGTGAAAGACTCCACAAGCAGCTGCTGTCTGGAAATATGAGCCCAGGAGCACCAGTCTAGTACTTTTTCATTAAATGATGACTAATTAGCTGAAACTTTGACCTGCACCAAATGTAGCCAGGAAACGGCAAAGTACCTGACTTTTCCAAGACTAAAGGTCATATATCTTGACTGAGACTGCCATAAAAAGTGTGTAATGTGCCTCTTTGGCCAGCCTTCCAGTGTTTTCACCCACTGGGCTGTGCAACTTTGAGCTCAGGAACAGCTCCTGGCCACACATGCATAGCGACGATTGAATAGAACACAGACTCATGGATGCCAGAAGCATTTACAAAACAGATTGCTAATAACACACAATCAATTATTTCAGTGTTGTAGTGTGTACTAATTTTGTATTGTATTGTATTTAGGGAAAGAACAGTATTTAAGATTAAAAAAATCACATTTACCCTTTTACTGTTGGCCATGGACACCTGTCCTGATAGTCGCTCGTCTTCATGCTGTTGTTGAATGCTGACAGACAGTCGTCAACATTACTGTCGAACATGTGCTGGTCACATGGCCGAGCAACAGATTTGGCAGCCATTCCTGAAGAAAATGACACTCAGCATAAGAGACAGAGTGAGCAGCCCTAGACATTGATTGTTCATTGGATATTTATCCATCACACATTAGACAAAGTAATCTTCAAAAAATGACAGAACTCCCTTTAATTAGAAATTACATCAGTGCTCATGGTTTTGTGGTTAATATAGCAAAGAAAGTATTTGTGGAAAATACTTTATAGAAAATAGTAGACAAATAATTGAAATCATTCACATTTGTCAGTGTTATTATGTGTTGATAGCATTAGTACAATGTGACTACATGGCTTTGTAATTTATAATTACATTTCATTGTGCTGATGCTTTTATCCAAAGCAACTTACAATAAGAGAACTTTAGAACAGTATGGTTCTCTAACTGCCATTCCTGCCGTGGTCCATTTCCACATTTAATATTTTTTGCCAGAGATGATGTTGCCTAAATGGTATTTGGCATTTACGGTACAAATCACATTCACCCATGTATGCACAAATTCACACAGAGCTTCTTTGCAAAGCACGTTTTCAAGGGGTTCGAACTACTGGACTTCACATTAGTGGACAAACCACTCTACCCCCTGACCCGCTCAATCTCCTGCGCCTCAACCACCCTAGGTATGTACAAATATGACTTACTGACCACGTGACGCTGAGTTTAATACTAAGCAGCCAAATCTGAAAACATATTTAAAGCAAAGTTGAAAGTGGTGGAATGGATACAGCCCAGTTATTTGCATAGTCTCAGTTAATTTAACTACAGGTGTTCCTCAGCAATAATCCAGTGGTTCTTAAATTCAAAATTGTCCCTGAGCCTCAGCGAGCTATGTACCTGACTGGGTCAGTGTTACGGCTCACCTGTCCAGATGAGGCCAAGAGCCAGAAAACATACAGTCAACACCATCTGTCGGAGAAAAACAATCACGGTGAAAATGTATTATGTTAAGATGAAGGACTTGTTCTATAAACAAGAAAAAAAACGGACAAAGAAGTTTGGAACAAATGAGAGATCATTTCTATATGTAGAGTGCAATGTTTGTTTTTCATTAAAAAGTATGTGAGGGATGAGTTATCTGCTTCATCTGTGAACCCTAACCTTGCAGAATATTTGTAGTCTCTATTTTCTCTGTGTCCTCCTCCACACTGGAGAGACCATGCACTAGATAGTCATTGACTGAATGCATGACCAAATAACAAAGGCATTGTTTTCCCCGACAATGTTTTATACACAGTTAGAGTGAGAGCAAAACGACCCATGCTCAGACTCATACTGCTTCTCCTTAAATGTAGAATTACATTTAGATTCTACCATTTCTTACTAAGCTGCATTTTAACTGCAAGTTCAGAACCACGTTTAGAAAAAGAATCACATTTTTAACAATAACATTACGTTCTGCATGAAACAGCCATGACGGCCATCTGCTTCCTGTACATTCCCACAAATTAATGCATTTATCTTGTGGCTGGTAAACACTGAAAACAGATGTGAGGAGAGAACGCCTCCACCTTCATACACAAATGCACACACACACAAAATCTTTTGCTGCTTGTATGAAGAAAATATGATGCCACAGTTGACACTACAGATCTGTGTAAGAAATATGAAAATGTATGAAATTGTGAAATAAAAAGGTTTAATGCTTTTCACTGTATTTATACTAGTGAAAAGCATGAGATATTGAACTCAATACATTTATCAATAGTCTTATACAGATGTTAAATGTAAAAAGTAATAGAGAATGTAATATGCATGTGCATACCTTAGATTGTTTGCTGCTGTTATTGTTCTCCGTTTTGAATCCCTGGTTAAATCCTTGAATGTTAACAGCCAACTAACATGTGCACAAGTGCTTGGTCATAAAAGGCTTCTGTGGTTATCTCATCCACTTTCCCATTGGTGCAACCCAGAGATAATTGCATCATATAGCAGACAGCCTGCTTCCTTTCCCAGACGGGGCATAGTGGTTCCCATGCTACCCTATGACATGTTCCACACAAGGACCCCCTGAGAGATACATGAACAGAGAGGCCTCAATGTCAACAAGCCTGCTGGTATTTTATATCCACTTAACATCAGTGTTTTGTTAATGTTCAGGATCAGGACTGTATTCTGCCATCAGGGCACACATTCAGCAGAAGGTGGAGAAATACCTTGAGGTGTTTTTTCATATTTACACAGCCAGCATACAGAACACACAAGCAGAAGGACGGACGTCTACAACCAAAAGCACTTTGGGTGTACTACATATTTTAGGAAATATGGTTTTAATTCCTTAATTTCCTGAAGGCCTTTCCCTTACATGAGAAACTGAAGTTCAGAAATGAATCCACTGAGAAATACAAAAAACTTTTACACTAATCTAGTTTACTTTAGTGTAAATATTGTGCATAGTTGGAGATAAAAGTAATAGACATAGAGAATCATTAGTTTACTAGAGGGAATCAAAAACATTTCAACACCTTCAATTTAAGATGACCTAAATGCTAATGACTGGCAGTTACTAAATCTCACATGAGTATTGGCACAAACATTATCAATGCACCCTCATAATGCAAAACATCGCTAATTCATATTCTACTTGAGGTAAACAGAACAAGCTGGAAACAAAAACACTGAAATATTATCAAATTCAAATGTTGTTTTTTAGTGCATGTGTTAGCAATCACTCGGCTTTTTACACATTAACAATCACACGATGTGTTTCTGTATAACTCTCTTTGCACAGTTTGTTCTGTAACAACCCCTGGGAGAAAAGTTTCCTTTTGTTGCAGGTTGCAAACAATGGTTTAATTTCAGTTTTTTATTTGATTTATTTATTTATTTTATTATTAATTCAGAGAGCAGCTGCCTGATACATAGCAGTGTTGAAAGCTAGCCAAAATGTAAAGCCAAAAACCAAAACAATGCTGGAAGATCATAAAAGACATCATACTAAAGGCTCATTTCCTTTTCCACTGGTCAAAAAACCCACAAACATCTGTCTTTTTATCTGCAACGGGAATGACATCGATCGGCATCCACTCCTGGTTCAAACACACAGGTTTTTTTAGCTGAGGTTCCCATCGGCATTGATGAAAACATGACCCTGTACCCTTTGATTCATGACAAGCATGGTGAGAGAGCTTCTTATGTTCATGACATCCAACATGACTCATCTGGGGGGAAACAAACTCCTCTACTGGTAATGGAAAAGGATTCTATCACATCTATTTTGAGCAGGCAAATTTAAAAAACCTACGTATACATATTCATTTTGATATAATAGATGAATGTTACTGCCCCTTAGATGGAGTAGTGAACTAACTGTGTGATGGGGAGGCTGGAATTCATGTGCTGCAGGACCAGCCTCTCAATGTATTGTTTGATGATAAGAGTGAGATCTGTGCATTAGAACCGCATACAAAAGTAAAGAGCTAATCATTTCCCCCAGAAAGTTGTATTAGTCCTTTAAGCTCCTTTGATTACCATAACCATGGTTTCATGTGTTTGTTCTTTGTCTCTGGATTAAAAAAATGTACTGAAGCAGCTGAATCTTTCAAGTTTATGCAAACATACATACAAATGCTCTGGAGCAACATTTACCCTGAGGTTTTACAGAATGTATTGTATATCTGTGTCTATATCTAGCTACAATCATCAGTCTGGTTCGTTTTTAATGATATTGCAGAAATGTTCCTTATTCAAATTGTTTTATAGGCATTTACAAACCTTTTCCTTTACCAATCACACAAAGTATTTGTTTGTACTAATCCTGCTCTCTCATTACCAATCGCAGAATCCTCCTGAATATAGGCTCTCTTTTCACTTCACTCTCCATACCAATGTATTTCCTGTGGAAAATGTAACCGCCACTCTGGTATTCCATTTGTCGACTAATGACTCTCTGAAGATGGATCTTTCAGGAGCCCAGTTACAACGTCTCTCATTGCAGCACTATCAAGTCGTTCCACTTACAATTAAACGTCCAGCTATTACACATTCATCTGGAGTCGCTAAGCAACATGTATACATCATAAAATTGCATTTGTAAGTGGAGACATTTTGAGAAGTGGTCATAAGAAAGCATTTCCATTTGTCTAAATTTAAGACATAATCATGTGAGAGCAAACAAAGTATAGACAATAATAGACAGTTTGGTAAATGCTGTGCACCTGTGAAAGGCAACGTATGTGCTTTTTGGTCATGGAAAATATTTTCTCTGCTAGAAACAAGAGTTGAAATAGGAGGCCATGCAATGTAAACACACACCTCACAAAGATGGACATAATCCACTCTTTGTGGGTGGGGGGTCCTGACTTGAATGTACCCAGTGAGTCTGCAATCAGATTACTTTGCATTTTTTACAATGTACACTGTAAAAGCTAATACCGCTTTGATGCAACTCGTGTCATGTCTGTTAAAGGTTCTGTAATTTACATGTCTGCTTTGAAAGTTATTTGCTATGACTAGAGAATAACGCACAGTATGCATACAATATGATCATTCAGAGAGTAGGGTTTAATTCATTAATAAATATATGTCTTTATTTAACTGGGACACTTGAATTAGAATGGAGATTTAAAAAATACTGTCTCGGTAAATAAAAGACTTAAGGGGTGTATCTAAACTATAGATTGTAAATAAAGATGATCAAGTTTTCTCCACTCCTGGCTTTCAACAAAAATGAAGCCTAAATATTATGGACACGGGTGTCGCCATCTTGCAATTTAAATATTATTTGGAGGCAGAGCCTGTGCAGTAGTGATCAATGTCGAAACCTGATCTCACTCATACTTATAAATAAATAACATTTTCCAAATTTTCACACCATTCCAACAAAGAGAACCTTAAATACCTTCAAATAAATAAATAAAAATGCATGCATCTTTCATTTGATTCAATGACATGCATATGAATCCCTCAACAAACAACAGAGTAGAGACACCCTACAAATAGGGGAGGTTTGTAATCATCTGAGAAATTATGATTGAGAATGCCTTTCTTGCCTTTTAGAATTAAACATGACAAGTAAACTTGCGATATTATACTTTATTTCATGCCAGTAATCATTTACTGACATAAATGTTTTTCCAACTTAGTTTTTTAGACGTGGTGACTTCAGTTTATTTGTCAGACACTAATCTCATAAATCTGAACCTTAGAATTCAGACTTGTTTAGTCAGTCAGTTCAGTCATTACAAAAACATTACCATTGAGAAGCTTTTCTTTTTTCCCTCATTGGTCCTGTATAGTAAATGCTTTTTTCCGTCTAGAAACTGTGTGCAAATGGCTAAATCAGGCAAAGTGAGGATTGATGGCCCTGACAGACATTACTTCATAGTCTCAGACTGGTTACATTGAAGCATGTTTTACCTGCTACACTGACATCCCACTGGAGCTGCAGTGCGAGGCTGGAAATCCTAACACGCACCCTATAGGGTCAGGCAAAGATGAGGAAATGTCCTCCTTGTGTAATGGGTGAGAAGTTCCCCTGAGCTCAGTCCCAAGTGGTGCAACACACACCTCTTTATATGACTGTGTTGGTCCACCTTTACATTATATCTCTCTGTGTGATCATCATTCATGCTCTGCCACTCTCACAAGCATAATCTTATAAAACTGAATTTTCTGTTTGAATTAAGGCAGCAGAGATAATACTGTATTACATATCTACCTACTAATTCCACAAACGTCTGTCTGTCTCTCTGCAGGTGGAACGCATATATCATGAATCCTCAGCTAACACTTGGCATGTGTATTGTTAACAGTGTGAGAAAGTGCAATACTGGGTTTGATTTGATTCAGTTTGTTCATATCAATAAAAAATTGAATACAAATTGAATGAACGGGTCCCAGGTCATATGTGGGACATTTTAGTTTCATTTCTGGATAGTGGGAGGAAGCTGAGATGTGTCTTCTATCTTTGTATAATCAGTGCTTTCCAAAGTAATTCTACAATATAGGTATAATCCTTTAAAATGTTACTGTTACGGATGTGGAAAGAATGTCTGAATCGTAAAATAAACACCAAAGTGAACTGAAAAAGTCAAGTATAGCAACGAAAGAGCACAATGAGGTCAGCCTTACATCACAACATAGCTTCACAGGGTCTAAGTCAACAGTCAGTGGAGCTGCGGCTCATCCAGGCCATGACAACATCGGTTCTCCAAGTGAACTTGGTGACGACCACCTCTCGAAAAAAATTAAGGCTACATAGAAAAGCAGAGTAATTTTTTGCGTGCTGTTCCCCCGGAGCCCTGGCCGCCCTGGTGTGCCAACTGTTGCAGTAAATGAACGGGACATGTAACTGACACTCAGCACTGACTTTAATATTCCAAAGGAAAGATTTGGTTTTCTAGGATTTGCTTTTAGTTGAACTTGTGATGTTGAGTCAGTTGTAGTTGTGTTTGTCATATGAGCTCGGCACTGAAATGAACTTAAAAAATACAATCCATCGTCTGCTTATCTTCCAGTGCAGTTTGTAAAAACATGCATATATTTTTTTTTACACACGAATAAACCAAACCACAATCAGTTGTTCCAGTATACTTTGATGGAGACTAGTGGACTCTTTTGTTTATCAGTCAGCAAGTAACATGGGAGCAGATAGGACCCTGTCAGTGGCATCAGAATGTTTACCCACTCCACTGACATTCAGGTTCGGATGGTTCAAACTGTTGCCTTCCAAAGGTCATTTTGGATTCCACTGGACAACAAACATAGCTGTTGTTAGAATGGTGATATATTTTACATACGGGTTGCTGTTTACATACTTGGCCTTGCCTGGAATCTTACTTGGGGATTTAGCCTTCCGATGTCCAAGTTGTACTGCGGAGCGCT